GATTAAAACCGGGAGGGGAAGGTTGGATCCCTCCTTCCTCCATCCCGGCTCCGTGCAGGAACGCGTGGCCTCTGCATCCTGACCCCAAGAAACTTTGGGAATCATCTCCCTGCGTTATCCCGATTAAAACCGGGATGGGAAGGTTGGATCCCTCCTTCCTCCATCCCGGCTCCGTGCAGGAACGCGTGGCCTCTGCATCCTGACCCCAAGAAACTTTGGGAATCATCTCCCTGCGTTATCCCGATTAAAACCGGGATGGGAAGGTTGGATCCATCCTTCCTCCATCCCTGCTCCGTGCAGGAACGCGTGGCCTCTGCATCCTGACCCCAAGAAGCTTTGGGAATCATCTCCCTGCGTTATCCCGATTAAAACCGGGATGGGAAGGTTGGATCCCTCCTTCCTCCATCCCGGCTCCGTGCGGGAATGGAAGGGTCAAAGCGGAGGAGCCCTACGAGGGCCGTGGCACGTCCTAATCCCGCCTGGTCCTCCCAAAGAGCTCCTGCTGCCCGGATCCTGGCTCCCAGAAGAGCCGGTCCCAGCAGCCCTGGGGCAGGACTTACCCAACCCGTCTGCCTGCTCCCTGCCCCGCTTTCCCAACCAGTTCTGAGCAGCTTCCAGCTCTTCACCTCGCAATGTTCCTATTCTCAGCGGTCATTTACATCATTCTCTTTCCAAGGAATTGAAACTCCATTTCAAAGAGAAAGAAAGGAGGGGGGGGGAACAACCAAAAAGGAGAGGAAGAGAAGCAGAGACGAGACAACCCCATTCCCAGGCTCCCTTTCCCTTGGGTGATCCAGTCCTGCTGGACCCGGCCCATCCAGCCCCGGTTTGTCCCAGGTTTTTGTGCGAGCCCCGTATAGGATGCTCTTTAATTCCCCCTCTCCTCCTGCCTTTTTTATTCCTTGCTAAATACCCAAATTCCCAGGGGTTAAGACGAAACTAAAGCAGGATTTAGCCTAAAAATATCCGGGCACATCTGCCCACCTTCCCCATCTGCTTGGATGAAGGAAGGGATTGTATGCGCAGAATGAGGGGTCTGTCTGGTCCTTCTGTCCCGTTTGGGAGCTCGGTTCACACCAGGTTATTTAGGGAGGGATATTCCTTAAGGCTCAGTGTGCTTGCTGGATAACCCCTTAGTCAAGGAGCATGTCTCAGTGCATGGGTTTGAGGCGCTTTTTGACTGCAGAATGAGCTTTTATAACCTGTTTCCTAACGCCTTTCGAGCAAGAAACCTCAACATCTGCATGTTTCCAGGCCATCCCTCCCAGCTGCTTCCTGGCTTTTGCATGGACTTGTCCGAATCTATCGGCATTTCGTGCCGCGTTCCTTAGCAGGAGGAAATGGGCTGATTGCAGGCATTGAAGTTACAACCGGCTCTCATTTCTCTAATGGGATCCTTTCAAGGCCAATGACTGCGGTAATGACAACGTCGGAGCTTGAAAGGAAGGGCCGTGCCCAGCGGCCGGAGCAGGGATGGAGCATCCCGGAGCCCCGGGATGGGCTGCGGATGCCATCACCCGCAAGGAGCACCGACTTGACCCATAGGCAAAGCGCCATTAAGGGTGCACAAGGGGTTAATACCCCCCCTTTTTATATGGGGAAACCACGGGATGGGGATGGAAGGGTTGGGAAGCAACCCCAGCGCAGGGATCTTCGGAGCTGCTCCAGGAGAGGCGTTAATTCATCTCGGATCACCTGCCCCGTGACTCACGGCTCCATCGGTGCTCCGCATAGTTTCCATCAGCGTTTCATTTGACACACACATCCATCCCAAACGATCCCACGGGCAGCAGGGTGACACCGGTGACCATGTATTTACCTCGCCTGCTCACCCAACGCACCGGAAACCTTGAACTGGGCCGGACCCAGCCCTGGCGCAGGGTTGGGAATGGAAAACCGGTCGGAGAGCTTTTCCCTTCCTTCCCCCGGCAGCCGTGGGATGGAGCGCGTGACCTTGGGGCTGAGCTGGGTGAAACAGCCTTTCCCCGGCTCCGCGGCAGGGAATGAGCAGCACCGGTCCCAAAGGGATCCGCAAAGGTGGAAGGAAAAGGGAGCAATGCTCCTTGTGTGTGCTGGAGGGGGGGGGGGTGTCTGTGCATCCGACTGCTGCTCCCATGGGGATGCCAGGAGAAGCTCCCCATGACCCAGCCTGGAACCCCCCCATGTGCTGGGCTGCACCCCCAGAGCGCGAGCAGCAGCTCAGGGAGGGGATCCTGCCCCTCTGCTCCCATGAGACCCCCCCTGTGTGCACGGTGCTCAGCATAAGGACATGGAGCTGTTGGAGCAGGTCCAGAGGAGGCCACGAGGATGCTCAGGGGCTGGAGCAGCTCCCGTATGGAGCCAGGCTGAGAACATTGGGGCTGGAGAAGAGAAGCTGCGTGGAGAGCTCAGAGCAGCTTCCAGTGTCTGAAGGGGGCTACAAGGATGCTGGAGAGGGGCTCTTCATTAGGGACTGTAGGGATGGGACAAGGGGTGATGGGTTCAGACTGAAACAGGGGGAGTTCAGGTTGGAGATAAGGAAGAAGTGATTTATGTGAGGGTGCTGAGGCGCTGGCACAGGGTGCCCAGAGAAGCTGTGGCTGCCCCATCCCTGGCAGTGCTCAAGGCCAGGTTGGACACAGGGGCTTGGAGCAAGCTGCTCTAGTGGAAGGGGTCCCTGCCCATGGCAGGGGTTGGAGCTGGGTGAGCTTTAAGCTCCCTTCCAACCCAAACCAGGCTGGGTTCCATGATTCTATGATGCTTATAACCTTGGGGTTGACTCCCAAGCCATCCATCCCACAACATCCATCTGCATCCCAAGTCCATCCTCCCCTGAGCATCCAGCGCTCCCTAAAACAGCCAGAGGAATTCCTTATAGATCAAGCAGGGACCAGCAAACCAGATGCCTCCTGCCGCACACAACCAGGGTAATCTCTGTCATACGGCCAGAAAAGGGGAGATTAGATCAGATCAGATGTACCTGCCTAATTTTAGCTCCCTCACATGCTTCGGGCGTGCTGCTCCTGCTCTTCCCTCGCTCCTCTCCAAGCCATGGGGCCACCAGGCAGGACAGGAGGAAACCAGCCTGGCTTTGGCTGGGAAGTGGTACCCAGCGGTGTGATGTGCACTGGAGGTGGTGATGCTCCCCCTGCACTGGTGGTGGTCATCCTCAACCTCTGGAGCATCACCTTTCCAAGCCCTGGGAATGCCTCCCTACCCATCCAGCCTGCCCCCATTCACACTGAGCTCCTGCTGCTGCTTTCCCCTCCACCTCCTGCTGAATTCCTGCAACGTGACAGGGACATTTGCTGTCCATTGCCTGCCCTGACCTCCCTCATGCCAGCCCTAAGCCCTTGTCTTGTCCTGCTGCCAGCTCCATCAAACATCTCCTGATCCAAGGTGACATCTGACTCCTCATGGGACCAGCCTTGGGGCAGCGCTGCGATGCAGCAGGAACAGAAGACATCTGAGCCCTGCGCTCATCATGAGCTGCACCATCCCCAGCATCCCAGCAGGGTCCCCACGGCCTGGAAGGGGATGGGGAGGAAGGACACAGTCCCTTAAAGCTATCATAGGCAAAGTGAGGTGTCCCCATGCCCATGGCAGGGGGGTTGGAACTGGATGATCTTAAGGTCCTTTCCAACCCTAACCTTTCTATGATACTATGATTCTATGACCACCCCACATCCCAAAGGGGGTCCTGGTGCTGGTGAGGGCTGTGCTGGGCACCACACAAGCCTGACAGAGCTGGGAGGTCAAAAGTCGCTGTGAGGGCACAGGACCCTGAGTCACAGCATCCATCCCGGGATGAGTAAGTCCCGCGAGTGGCACTTTCCCAATCCCAGCGGAAGGAGGAGGTTTCTCCAGCATCCCCAAGGCGCTTTCCCAAAGGGGCAGAGCTGGGTCACAGCCACATCCCTGGTGTGGGGCGAGCGCACGTCCCCAGGGCCAGCACCCGGAGCTGGGGCATGAGGGCGAGCAGCAGCAGGCAGGGAGGTGCTCAGTGCCAAGGGCTTTTCCTTCACCTGCTCCATGGGATCCCTGGTGCTTCCTCATGGATCAATGGGTGGGAGCAAGCCCAGGGGGTCTATGGTCCATGTGGATGCTGTTTCTGTTTCTGATCCAAGGAGTTTGGGTGTTTAAAGGGATGATCTTAAAGGTCTTTCCCAACCGAGTTGATCCTATGCTTCCAAGTGTCCCCTGGTTTTCCTGCTGCTGCAGCAGATTCCCAGAGCTGGATCTCAGGGATCCCATCCTGGAGCATGATGGCAGTGGGATAACGCTGCCATTACCCCACAATAACCCTGCGCCATGGCCGCATCCAGCCCAGGCTTGGCACGGGGTCAGTCCCCAAGCCCTGGCTTGCATAAGGTGGGAATGTGGGAAGTCTCTGGCTCTGTCGGGATGCTGGAAGCAGCAGCCTGGAGCAGGTTGGAGGCTCAGGGGAAGGCGGTGGAGCAGCGTCCGTGTCACCATGGCAAATCCATGTGCGCATGGATGCGCCTCCCCGCTCATCCTTGGTGTTGGGATGCGGCTCTTAAAACCCAGGTTGGTTTGGGCACTCACCTCCTGCCCGTTCCAAAAGCCCATCCTAAGCACTAATGGTGGGATTAACACCCCACTGACCCCTCAAACCCAGAGCAATTCCTAACCCGGATCATGGCCAGCTCTCCCCAGGATGCAGGAGCAGAACCGGGCTCTCCCCTGGACCATTGCTCACAAGCAGCATCTCGCATCCCTCCCTGCAGGGAGGACCACATCCCAAAGCAGGAAACCACCCCCAATATTACATCCTGCCTTGCTTCAACATCAGTCAGGGCCAGAGAATTGGGAAACAGCTCTCCAACACCCTTCCATGAATTATTCCATGCAGCCATCCCGTTATCCCGCTCCCCACAATTACTCCCCTTCCGATGAGTGGCAGCAGGATGAACTGGCCTCACATCCCTTCATGCTCCACAGCCAGATAGAAGGAGTAAAACCACCCCAAAATCCCAAATCCAGGGAGAAGATCCCCTTACCTGGGTGAAGCTCTTGCCATCCATGCCGTCCGCTGCGTGCTCGGGCATCACCCTTGGAGCATCCGAGATGGTTTGCTGGGACTGGGAGAGTTTTATCATCTCTGATCCCTGCGGAGGAAGGTCCCTGCCTGCCATTGGCTGGGCTCTGGGGATAAGTATGGGATTTTAGCAGCACCCATGTAATCCCAGAGCTGTGGGATGAGCGCAACGGAGCTGCCTGGGGTGTGATGCCGATGGGGCTGGGTACCCACATTACACAGTGTCACCATCACCCCTCATGGAGCATCCCTTTGCATGGCAAGCAACAGCCACCGGACCAGGGTGACCCCCACAGTGTGCAGGCAGTTTTAGTGATGAATCCCCTCTCCTTTTTCCTAGGCTTGGGAAATAAATGAGGAAATCACCACTGGGATGGATGTGTTTGCAAAGGGATGCTCGGGAGCTCCAAGCTGTGCTTGTGCATCCCCACCCCTGGTAATGCACACGGGTAGATAGCATGCGTGTGCACGTGCTGCATGTGTGCATGAGGCAGGAACATGTGGCTGCACACATGGCTCTTACCCGGCTTAACTGGGATCTGCTTATACAGAGGTGGCTCCTCTGCTTATACAGAGCTTCGGGAGCCCTTTAGAACCCCCAAACACCCTAATGGGGGGTAAAACCTATGGGGAAGAGCTGCAGTGGGAGCGGGGAGCCCCATGGCTTTGCCCCTGTGTGCCCATGGGCATGCGAGGGCCCTCTCCCCACTGCCCAGCAAAGAGGTTTAAGGCTGATGCACTTATTCCTTGTGTCCAGGGCAGATTATCCGGCTGGCGGGGCCGGAGCCCTGGCACGGAGCCCCTGAGCCCTTATCTGGGGCAGGCAGGGCAGGAGAGCTATGGGGAAGGAGGGGGGGCAGAGCTGCAGCCCCACAGTGCCCTATGGCAGGTGGCTGGGCCGTGATGGGGCTCGAGAGAAGGGACAGGGATTGGGTTAGGGGGCAGCAGCATCCCCCCCACCCAGGGCTTGGGCACCTCCTGCATGTGCTGAAGGTTCAACCCAGCCCTAAATCGCAGTCTGGCCTCTGGGTTCAGCACCTTCCCTTCACAGAGGGAGAGCCCCAGCTTCAGCCCTGTCCCCATCCTGCTCCCTGTCCCATCCCTGTCCTCATCCTGCTCCCTACCCCATCCCTGACCCCATCCCATCCCTATCCTCATCCTGCTCCCTGTCTCAGACTTATCTTCATTCCCATCCCATCCCATCCCTGTCTGCACCCTGGTCCTTGTCCCAGTCCCATTCCCATCCCCATCCCCCTCCCACCCCCATCCCTGTCTCAATCCCATTCTCCTCCCTGTCCCTATCCCTTACTCCACCCATAGCCCAATCCTGGTCCTTGTCCCAATCCCATTCCCATCCCCATCAAATCCTTGTCCCTTTCCTCATCCCCATCCTTGCCACCACCTCTGTCTTGGTCCCCGTCCTAGTCTCATCCTCATCCCATCCCACCCTTATCCCATCCCCATCCCTTTCCCAGCCCCATCCCTATCCCTGTCCCCATCTCACCCCTATCCCACGGCTGACAGGGACAGCCCAGGACAATCCAGCCTCCGATGGAGCCAGGAGCCGCTCCTCTCCCACCATGCGTTTGGCAGCACCTTCAGCCGACAGAAACTTCTTTTATCTCCAAAACCTCCCCTTTAATCTCCCCAAAGATCCCTTTCATCTCCCCAAATCCCTTTGCTGCACAGGGAGAGCTCTGCCCGCTCCAGGCCGGGATCCTCCCTCCGTTGGCTTCTCCGAGCCGGGAAGGACAGAGCCACCTTTGTTCTGTCCCTGCTCCTATTGCTGCAGGAAATGTCACAGGGCCCTTGGCGCCGGCGGCTTTGCCATCCCTCTCCTGGCACGTCCGTGCTGGGAATCTCCAGGATAGGGAGAGGAAAGGGACCCACAAGCGCTGGGCGATGGGAGATGTGCTGGGGAGATGGGGGTCAGGGGCATCGCTGCGTGTCCCCACATCAGTGCTTTAACTGGAATGGATACGGAGCCAAGCCAGGCTTGCTCCATCTCCCACCATCGTGGGGTCAATGGGATGCTGATCCCCACCCTCAGCCATTCCCAGCCTCCCAAAATCCTCCTTGCAGCGGGCACCGGATAAACCCCGTCATTGTCCCCCCCTGCCTCATGTATAATTCAGCACATGGCAAGGGCAAGACCTGCCCTTTCCAGTGAGGGACCCCCCTTGGGGACCTCAGTGGGTGGCCGGGGACCGTTCCCAACGCAGCTTTATAAAGAGGCGATGGAGAAACAGCCGGCTGGGATGGGAGCAGGTGATTCCCCATGGGATACCCCCTGGTGGCAGGTGAAGAGGTGGTTTTATGGCTTTAATAGTGGGATAAAAGCTCTTAAGGGCGCCTCGCTGGTTGTATGGCATTTCCCTGTGCTGGGAACCCATTGGAAGTGGGATGCGCGGTCCAGCCCGGAGACTGGGATCTGCGAATTCAATGCAGCCCAGTGAGGAATGCCAGCCTCAAACAATGCCTGGGTGCATTCCTCTTGGAGAGAGGGTGTCTTGGGACACGTTGGAACAGTGGTGGAATGACTGTCCCTGGAAGTGATCACACACCACGTCTATGAGGCCCTGAGTGCCATGGGTTAGTGATGGCAGCGCTTGGGAATGCTTGGACTTGATGAGCTTAAAGCTCTTTTCCAACCTGATTCCATGATTCTATGCCAGCAATCGGAGGAGGAGGGAGAGCTGCAACCCCTGCCCTTGCTCTGCCGCAGCCAGAGGTGAAGCCACCGCTCCCTCAAGCCGCTCCAAGGGCTTTCTAAGGCTCTCCCCATGGATGGCCGGGAGCCAGGCAGCAGCACATCACGGAGCCGGCACGAGGCCGGCAGCTCCGGCAGGGACCGGCTGCATCCGCGACTCCTGGGGCTGAGCCAGCAAAGATTGGGCTTAATCACATGTTAACCTCAGCCCCATGCCAGGATCCATCCCTCTTCCCTGACCTCCCTGGCTCCGGTAACCAGAAACCACCAGGGAATTTTTCCAGTCTCATGATAACAGCAAACGTCACATCCCAAAGGAGCACAGGCGCTGCCAGCTGGGTGGGATGGGGCGAAGCCAATGGGATGGAGCTTCTGGGGGCATCCTGGCGACAGCAACCGGTGCCAGGGGTTTGGGATCCAAACCCGGATCTCGTTTCGGAGCGGGGAAAATGAAAGGGATAACTGGACCTAAAGAGCTGGGAAACAGCCACAGCCTTAAGCATCCCCAGGCTGCTGTTTTCTAGGAACTCAAGCCTGGGTGCTTCCCCAAGCACCATTGACCACGGTGAGGGGGACATTGGGATGAATCCCCTAAAAGTCATCAGATACCCAAAGCATGGGTTGGATGGGGCGACTCCTTTCACTTCTGCTTTCCCTGGCTCACGCTGGCTCCAGGAGGCTGCTGCTCTATTTAGGGAGCTGTGTCCCAGCCCAGCAGCAGCAGAAACAGGGGAGGGGAAATGAAAATGAACCCTGGTTGGCTTCAGAGCATCCTCATCTGCTGCACATGGGAGCAGGGGCTGATCAATCAGAGCCCCAAGAGCTGAGACCTGGAATAAACCATGGCCCCTCATAACAACTGCGACCCCTAAAAGACAAGATCCCCCCAGAACAATGGTCATAATAGCCATGACCCCTAATAACTGGACCCCCAAAACCATGGTCCCTAATACCAATGACTCCGAATAACTACGATCCCCAAAACCATGGTCCTAATAACCACAACCCCTAATAACTGGGACCCCCAGAACCATGGTCCCTAATACCAATGACTCCTAATAACAGGGACCCTCAAAACCATGGTCCTAATAACCACAACCCCTAATAACTGGGACCCCTAAAACCATGGTCCTAATAACCACAACCCCTAATAACTGGGACCCCTAAAACCATGGTCCTAATAACCACAACCCCTAATAACTGGGACCCCTAAAACCATGGTCATAATAACCATGACCCCTAATAAATGGGATCCCCAAAATCTTGGTCTTAATAGCCATGATCCCTAATAAATGGGACCCCCAGAACCATGGTCCCTAATAACCATGACAACTAATAACTGGGACCCCAAGAACAGGGTCCCTAATAGCCATGACCCCTAATAACTGGGACCCCATAAACATACTCCCTAATAACCTAATAACCCAATAACCCTGACCCCTAATAACCTTGCCCCCCCCAAAAGACATGGCCTTTAATAACCCCAATCCCTAATAACCCTGACCATAGCCATAGCCCCTAATGAGTGTGACCCCTAATAACCATGACCCCTAATAAGTACAATCCCTAATAACCCCAACCCCTAATGATGCTGCCCCCAGGCCTTCTGGCTTCCCAGTGGGGTGAGATTCCTGCCAATCCCGGTTGCACAAGCATCCCCCAAACCCCTCATCACCCTCTTCCATGCTTCCCATTTTCCCTTTGAGTTGTCATCTACAAACACCCAGTTTTCCCAGCTATAAAACAAGGGGCAAGGAGCACATCCCGGCTGCTGGGAGGTGGGAATTTTGCAGCCCCAATTCCCCCTTGGATACTTCCACCTTTGGTTTTCGGTTGGTTCTAAACCCACCTCCCCTCGGATTAATGCACTCCTCCGATGAGGGCAGCAATAATGGGATTATCCCGATCTGGCTGCGGGACAGGGAAGCTCATTATGGAGCATTAAAGAGGGGAAAATTGGGATTTCCGAGGTCTAATGAAAGCTCATTTCCTTCCGTGCATCTCCCAGGCTCATTTTGGGCTCATTTGTGGGGTTTTTCACTGCCAGGATCTGGGAATGCTTTTCAGCCCGTTCAGGTTTGGGGAAACTGAGGCCCAGCGGCCACAGCGCTGCATGGGGACCAATTCCATGTCCCTCAATGCACCCCATAGGGCAGCCCAGGACTCAGTGGGTAAAGTGGGGTGAGGCACTTTGGGGGGGCTTTTTTCCTATGAAAACACGGGAAAGGAGGATGGGGAGGGGGAAAACACCCCAATGAAGGCCTTGGGTTGAGGATCCCCCCCCAGTGACTGACCCAGCGTCACCGAGGGCCTCAGTTTTGGTGGGAAAAGGGGAATTTGCCCCTTTTTCCAGCCGCCCTTTGGGTTCCAGCATCGCGAGGACCAACAGTGCCACCTACCGAAACAGCCCTCGCCGCTCCTGAGCCCTCATCGCTCCCTTTTCCCCATCCCAAAGCGCATTCCCACGTTCTTAGGGACACAAAACACCCCCAGCCCATCCCCTGTTTGTCCCTATGGGGCAATGCCAGCTGCCCATGCCCATCGCATCAAGCCTTGTCCCTATTTGTCTCCCCTTTATACTCCTGGGCCTGTTTTAGGTCCCTTTTAGGGCTTGGAAAGCTCCATTTGAACCCAAACCATTCCATGACCAAGCCTTTGTGGCCACTGAGTCCCACACGTTCTTAGGGACACAAGAACACTCATCCCAAGCCCTGTTTGTCCCTATGGGGCAATGCCAGCTGCCCGTCCCTATGGGGCAATGCCAGCTGCCCATCCCCATCGCATCAAGCCTTGTCCCTGTAGGGTTCCCATTTATACTCCTGGGCCTGTTTTAGGTCCCTTTTAGGGCTTGGAAAGATCCGTTTGAATCCAAACCATTCCATGACCAAGCCTTTGTGGCCACTGAGTCCCACACGTTCTTAGGGGCACAACCCCCCCCCCCAGCCCATCCCCTGTTTGTCCCTATGGGGCGATGCCAGCTGCCCATGCCCATCGCATCAAGCCTTGTCCCTATTTGTCTCCCCTTTATACTCCTGGGCCTGTTTTAGGTCCCTTTTAGGGCTTGGAAAGCTCCTTTTGAACCCAAACCATCCCATGACCAAGTCTTTGTGCCCACTGAGTCCCACATGTTCTTAGGGGCACAAGAACCCTCATCCCAACCTCTGTTTGTCCCTATGGGGCGATGCCAGCTGCCCATCCCCATCGCATCAAGCCTTGTCCCTGTAGCGTTCCCATTTATACTCCTGGGCCTGTTTTAGGTCCCTTTTAGGGCTTGGAAAGCTCCTTTTGAACCCAAACCATTCCATGACCAAGCCTTTGTGCCCACTGAGTCCTACATGTTCTTAGGGGCACAAAACCCCCCGCAGTCCAAGCCCTGTTTGTCCCTATGGGGCAATGCCAGCTGCCCATCCCCATCGCATCAAGCCTTGTCCCTATTTGTCTCCCCTTTATACTCCTGGGCCTGTTTTAGGTCCCTTTTAGGGCTTGGAAAGCTCCTTTTGAACCCAAACCATTCCATGACCAAGTCTTTGTGCCCACTGAGTCCCACATGTTCTTAGGGGCACAAGAACCCTCATCCCAACCTCTGTTTGTCCCTATGGGGCGATGCCAGCTGCCCATCCCCATCGCATCAAGCCTTGTCCCTGTAGCGTTCCCATTTATACTCCTGGGCCTGTTTTAGGTCCCTTTTAGGGCTTGGAAAGCTCCTTTTGAACCCAAACCATTCCATGACCAAGTCTTTGTGCCCACTGAGTCCCACATATTCTTAGGGGCACAAGAACCCTCATCCCAACCTCTGTTTGTCCCTATGGGGCGATGCCAGCTGCCCATCCCCATCGCATCAAGCCTTGTCCCTGTAGCGTTCCCATTTATACTCCTGGGCCTGTTTTAGGTCCCTTTTAGGGCTTGGAAAGCTCCTTTTGAACCCAAACCATTCCATGACCAAGCCTTTGTGCCCACTGAGAGGGGAAACTGAGGCACACCCAGTCCTGCCCATTAGACCCCAACGAGCCCCACCTGCGGCTCATTGAGTACTTAAGGGCCCCTATAGAAACCTATATAAACCCCTAACCCCGGCTCTGCTCCATCCGCGGCTATGGAAGGAGCCGGGGCGCAGCCGGCACGGGGGGCGCTGCTGCTGCCCACCCCGGCCCCGGAGGTGCTGGAGCGGGTGCTGAGGGAGCTCCACGGCCCCTTGCCCTGCGCTGCCTCCATCGCCCGCCTGCGGAAGGGGCCGGCCGGGGGGTACGAGCCGGCCGGGGGGGCCGGGGATGCGCTGGAGCGGAGGCAGTTGGCCAATGCCAAGGAGCGGCAGAGGGTGAGGGGGGAACCCCGGCCCCACACTTGTGGGGGGGATGATGGGGGGGGGGGCACCCGGGGCACCGCTGGGTGCTTGGGCCGTCGGCATTAGGCTTCTGCTGGGGTCGTGAATAGGGGGAAGTCTTTGGGGGGGTCTGGTTTAATATGGGGGGTTATATAACTTATATATTTAATGTTTATTATACTTAATACAGTATTATTATATTAAATATAATATTTATTATTATACTAATATTCTATTAATAATTCGAATATATTAATTTTTAACATCGATTCAATATAACATTATCATATTAATATCTTAATATATTACTTAATAATATCATGTTACTATATTAATACATTATATTATTAATATGTTTTTTCTATAATATGGGGGGTTTCATATATTTTCAACCTAAAGGGACCTGGTTTAATCCTTAGGGCCTGGTTAGATCCCAGTTTAATCCTATGGGAGGCCAGGTTTAACCTTGGGAAGCTCTGGGTTAGTTTTGGGGGGGGGCCTGGTTTAATCCTGGGGGTTCCAGTTTAACCCTTACAGAGCCCAGTTTAATCCTGAGGGACTGGGTTTAATCCTAGGAGGACCTGGCTTAATTCTGGGGGGCCTGGTGTGACCCTAAGAGGGTCTGTGTTAATGGGGGGGGCTGATTTGATCTTGGAGGACCCAGTTTAACCCTCATAGAGCCCAGTTTAATTCTATGGAGGGACAGGTATCATCCTAGAAGCTTCTGGCTCAAGTTGGGTTGGAGATGGCTTGATCCTAACAGAACCTGGTTTAATCATGGGGGTCCAGGTTAACCCTAAAAGGACCTGGTTTAAATTGGGAAGGAGCTGGTTTGATCCTAGGGGGGCCTGGTTCTATCTCGGGGTGCCCAGTTTAATCCTGAGTAGAGGCTGGTTTAGTCCTAGGAGGACCTGGCTTCATTTTAGGGGGGTGGTGGTTTCATCCTGGGATACACAGATTCACCATAGGAAGGCCTGGGTTAATCTTGGGGGGCCCAATTCAATCCTGAAGGTGCCCAGTTTAATCCTAGCAGCACATGGCTTAATTCTAGGGGTGCCCAATTTAACCCTAGGAGCACATGGCTTAATTCTGGGGTCCCTACCTTAATTCTAAAGGGTCCCAGTTTAACCCCATGGTGCCCAGTTCACCCTTGGGGTCCCCCCCCACGCACCCCAATGGGTTTTCCCTCTCTTTATCCCCCCCATTGCAGATCAAGAACATCAACAGCGGCTTCTCCAGGCTCAAGGCCTTGGTGCCCCTGGTCCCCCGCGACCACAAGCCCAGCAAAGTGGACACCCTAAAGGCAGCCACCGAGTACATCCGGCTGCTGCGGCTGGTGCTGGAGGAAACGGGGGGGCTCAAGGTAAAGGGGGGGTCACCCCAACATCAACCTCCCCTGTTTCAGTCTGAACCCATCACCCCTTGTCCTATCCCTACAGTCCCTGATGAAGAGTCGCCTCCCCAGCATCCTTGTAGCCCCCTTCAGACACTGGAAGATGCTCTGGGGGTGCAGCCCCGCACATGGGGGGGTTCTCATTGACTGACACCCCCAATTCCTTGTCCTCAGGCTGCTCTGCATCACTTCTCTGCCCAACCTGCACCTGGGGTTGCTCCAACCAAGGGGCAATCCTTGCCCTTGGTCCTGTTGGCATTGGGCACCCCTCAAGCATGTCAATGTCCCCCTGGATGGCAGAAGGATGGGGGGGCACAGCACCCCAATTTCAGTGTTTTCTCCCCCCTTCTCATACCAACAGGATGCTGATGCCAATCAGGATCTGGGTGATGCTGCTGGGACCAGGCCTGGCACTGTCCCCCTGTATCCATGGGTTGCCCCTGTGCTGCCCCCCAACCCTGTGCTGCTACGGGAGAGTGGGGAGCTGGTGAGTTGGGGGTCAGGGTTGGAGGGATGGGGTTGGGTGCACCCAAGAGGGGGGACAAGATGGGGACACCCATGAGCCTTGCAGGGAGCTCCCACCCCAGAGCTTAGGCTTTGGGGAGCCTCTGATTTATACCAACACATTATATCTATGTACATGCAGATATTTATGCCCCAAAATGAGCAAAACCTTGCATTTTGGGGGCTTGTTTTTGAAGGTTTTACCAGCCAATCCCTAAAAAACCCTGGAATCTCCAGCAGAGACCCACGGGGGACCTGGTGTGACACCAAGTTTGATGCTCCAGCACTTCCTTTGGGGGCTGCCTCCTGTCCCACGGCCGGATCCAGCCCCACATCCCATTACACTGCCCCTCAACCTGCCTATCCCCAACACGGGGGGGGGGGGGGCATCACTCCTCAACCACGATGGTGAGGCCAGAGCTGTAATTAATAGCTTTATGTGAATGTAATTAGCAATTAGCAGCTCTGCTTCCCCCCCCTTTATTTAATGGAACTCCCAATTCACCATCTATCTCATAATAAAAGAGGATTTTGGGGGGTGTCCATGCTGCTCCTGTGTGCTTCCCACCACGTTTATTTGCACTCAGTGGGTGTCCCGGGGGGGGTCTGTGGATTCCCCCCCCACCTCTATGGGGCGGAGCGTGTTGGCAGAAGGAGCTGGACCTGCGCGGGGGGGGGGCCCTTTGTCAGGATGCTCTGAGGAGGAGGAGGATGCTCTGAAGGAGGAGGTGGGTGATGGCAGCATCCTCCCGGCCGCAGCATCCCCATCCATGGGAGGGTTTTGGGGCGGGGGGGGGAGCAACAAAGCGGGTGACCCCCCCCTATCTCTTTCCCATCTTTTATCACCCTCCCTAAGCAGGCTGCATGCAGGTTGGGGGGGCTGCATCTATTCCCCCCCCCACCCCCATTTCCCTGGCCTTTATCCTCTGTGGGCGGTGGGTACCAATCCCCCCCTTTCCCCCCCCTTCAATCCGCATCCATGGGGGACGCGGTGCTGCATCCAGAACAAGGGAAATTCCCTGTTTTTCATCCTCATCCGCCATCCCTGCGGCTGCCGCAGCGGCGCTGGGTGCGGCGAGGGCGGAGGCGGCCGGGAATGTTGGATGGATGGATGGATGGATGGGGGGTGGGAGCATGGGGGTGTCGTTTATCCCCCCCCCCCCTTCCCAGCACGCAGTGATGCGGGGGGGGCCTTTAGAGACCCCTCTGCTCTTCCTCCTTCCTCTTTGGGGGGGATTCCTGCTGGGATGCTCAGGATCCTGCCACCCCCTGACGTTCGCCCTTCGGTGGGGACCCTCCCAGGGAATTCAAGCCTGGAAAAGGCTCCCTGCTTCCCTGTGAGCCAGGTGGGTACTGGAGCAGCAAAGCTGGGGCAGGGGGGACACGACGACATGGGGGGCTACGGAGGATACAGGGGGCTATGGAGGATGTGGGGGACTCTGCTTTTGCATCGGGGGAAGCACCGAGCGTTGGGGAGGGGAGGGATGCTCTGTTTGGGGGGGGTCCTGTGGGATTTGCGGGGAGCAGCTCAGGTTTGGACCACCTCTGCACCCCCTATACGGGGGTGTATTTGGGTCTCTTCCCCCCTCATTTTGGTGCAGCAGCACCCCTAAAACACCCCACCGAAGACTTGGTGGCGTTATGGGGGTCACAGCGGCAGGGCTCGGTCCCCAACAGTGGCACAGTGGCATCGATCCCAAGCGCGATCGATTGGGAGCATCCCTCAGGGCGGATGCCGTCGGTGCTGCTCCCATCAGTGCACTGAGCCGCCCGTTCTCAGCCACTGCTTGTTTTGGGGGGGGTGATTTGAGTGCTTCAGTCCCCCCCCCCCATCATGTCCTGAAGGTGCCAACTCATCACAGGGATGGGTTGTCCCTATGGGGAGGGCGGAGGCCGGATGGGGCTTATCTCCAGCGTGCAGCTTGGGGTATCCTCGGTGTCTGCTTCCCAACCTGGATCTGCGGAGGGCGCTGGCGCTGACCGTGGCCCCGCGTTCGTGTGCAGGATGAGCTCCGTGGCCAGCCCCGAGCCCCTGCCCGAGCCCCCCGGCCCCGGGTCCCGTTACCTGGAGAGCTTGGCTGAGGAGGACCCCGAGTACCTGCGGGCGCGGAACATGGCAGCGGACCTGCGGCAGGACTTCAACATGATGGAGCAGAAGAAGAGGGTCACCATGATCCTGCAGAGCCCGGTAAGCGGTGGCGCCTCCGGGGTCTGAACCCCGTCCCTCCTTGTCCTCAAACCCCATCCCTCCTGGTCCCCGAATCCTACCCCTCCTGCGCCCCCAAACCCTGCCCCTCCTGTCTCCAGTCTTGATCCTCCTGCCCCTCTCCCTCCTATCTCCCTTTGTCCCCAAATCCTATCCCTCCTTGTTCCCAATCTCTGTCCCTCCTTATGCCTAAACTCCATCCTTCCTGTCCTTAAATCTCACCACTCCTGTGCTTCAAACCCCATCCCTCCTTGTCCCCAAACCTCATCCCTCCCGTGGCCCCGAACCCCATCCCTCCTGTCTTCCAAACCCCATCCCTCCTGTACCCCCAAACCCCATCCCTCCTGTCTTCCAAACCCCATCCCTCCTGTACCCCCAAACCCCATCCCTCCTGTCTTCCAAACACTATTCCTCCTTGTCCCCAAACTCCATCCCTTCTGTGCCCCCAAACCCCATCCCTCCTGTGTTCCAAGCCCTATTTCTCCTTGTCCTCAAACCCCATCCCTCCTGTCTTCCAAACCCTGTTCCTCCTTGTCCCCAACCCCCATCCCTCCTGTGCCCTCAAACCCCATCCCTCCTGTCTTCCAAGCCCCATCCCTCCTGTACCCCCAAATCCCATCCCTCCTGTCTTCCAAACCCTATTCCTTCTCGTCCCCAAACTCCATCCCTCCTGTCCTCAAATCCCGTCACTCCTGTGCTCCAAAACCCATTCCTGTTTGTCCCCAAATCCCACCCTTCCTGTGTCCAAACCCCATCCCTCCTTGTCCTCAAACCCCATCCCTCCTTGTCCCCATATCCTCTCTCTCCTCACCCCCAAACCCCATCCCTCCTGTGTTCCAAGCCCTATTCCTCCTTGTCCCCAAACCCCATCCCTCCTGTCCTCTAAACCCCATCCCTCCTTGTCCCCATATCCTCTCTCTCCTCACCCCCAAACCCCATCCCTCCTGCCCTAACTCAGACCCTTCTCTCCCAATCCCATCCCTCCTCTCCCAAGCAAATGCCCCTGTCTTGGATGGGGGCACGTCCCCCGCTGCCCGGTAGTGCCAGCACCGTGCCCCCAATCTGGCAATGTCCCTGCCACCGACCCCATGGGGCTGCGGTCCCCACGTTAGCAGTGGTGGCACTGCCGACCCGCTGCTGATGCCAGCACCGACCCGGTGGTACCCGCACCCCGGTGCCACCGGCTGCTCCCTCTTCGGTCACCGCATCCCTGTGGGGATGGGGATGACACCGGTGGGGCCGGGTGCCGCAGTCTTCAGGAGGAGCTGGAGAGCCTCATCCAGGAGCAGATGAAGAAGGGGAACAACTCGTCCCACATATGGGCCCTGCGGCAGATCGCCGACTTCATGGCCACCACGTCCCATGCCGTCCTCCCCACCTCCCCCATGGGTACGGCAGCAGCTTCTTTGGGGCAAAAAGGGAATAATTTGGTGAAATTCTTGAGTGTTTTCCTTAATGTATGGGTTTGGAGGGGAGGAAACACCCCATAGCGCTCCATGTTCTCATTCCCAGTGGAGAGGGGTGAGGGTGGAGGGCAGGCATCGAGGACCACAGGGACAAAGTGGGGGTCACGCTGCAGACCCCAAGTAGCCTCTTCCAAAACCCTGGGATCCCCTAAAACCTTTGGGACCCCCAAAACCTTGGGATCCTCCAAACCTTTGGGACCCCTTTATCTTCGGGACCACCAAACCTTTGGAATCCATTCAGCCTTTCGGACCACCAAACTTTGGGATTCCCTTTACCTTTGGGATCCTCCAGACCTTTGGGATCCCTTTATCTTTGGGACCACCAAACTTTGGGGATCCTCCAAACCTTTAGGATTCTCCAAACCTTTGGTATCCCGTTACCTTTGGAACTCCCAGACCTTTGGAATCCATTAAGTTTTTGGGACCACCAGACTCTGGGATCCTCCAAACCTTTGGAATCCCTTTACCTTTGGGACCACCAAGCCTTTGGAATCCCTTTACCTTCAGGACCACCAAACCTTTGGGATCTAGCAAGCCTTTGGAATCCCTTTACCTTTGGGACCACCAAGCCTTTGGAATCCCTTTACCTTCAGGACCACCAAACCTTTGGGATTTAGCAAGCCTTTGGAATCCCTTCACCTTTGGGACCACCAAACCTTTAGGATCTTTCAAACCTTTGGGATCCCTTTACTTTAGGGATCCTCCAAACCTTTGGGATCCTCCAAACCTTTGGGATCTCTTTACCTTTGAGACCACCAAACCTTTAGGATTCTCCAAGCCTTTGGAATCCCTTTACCTTTGGGACCACCAAACTCTGGGATCCTCCAAACCTTTGGAATCCCTTTACCTTTGGGACCCCAAACCTTTGGAATCCCTTTATCATTGGGATACTCCAAACCTTTGGGATCCCTTTACCTTTGGGATCCTCCAGAGCTTTGGAATCCCTTTACCTTTGGGACCACCAAACCTTTGGGATCCTCCAAACCTTTAGGATTCTCCAAACCTTTGGTATCCCGTTACCTTTGGGACCCCCAGACCTTTGGAATCCATTAAGGTTTTGGGACCACCAGACTCTGGGATCCTCCAAACCTTTGGAATCCCTTTACCTTCAGGACCACCAAACCTTGGGATCCACCAAGCCTTTGGAATCCCTTCACCTTTGGGACCACCAGACCTTTAGGATCTTTCAAACCTTTGGGATCCTCCAAACCTTTGGGATCTCTTTACCTTTGAGACCACCGAACCTTTAGGATTCTCCAAACCTTTGGGATCCCTTTACCTTTGGGACCACCAAACCTTTGGAATCCGTTTATGATTGGGATACTCCAAACCTTTGGAATCCCTTTACCTTTGGGACCACCAAACTTTTGGGATCCTCCAAACCTTTAGGATTCTCCAAACCTTTGGTATCCCTTTACCTTTGGGACCCCCAAACCTTTGGTATCCCTTTACCTTTAGGACCCCCAAACCTTTGGAATCCCTTTACCTTTAAGACCACCAAGCCTTTGGGACCCCCAAACCTTTGGTTTCCCTTTACCTTTAGGCCCCCAAACCTTTGGAATCCCTTTACCTTCAGGACCACCAAACCTTTGGGATCCTCCAAACCTTTGGAATCCCTTTACCTTCAGGACCACCAAACCTTTGGGATCCTCCAAACCTTTGGAATCCCTTTCCCTTTAGGACCCCCAAACCTTTGGTTTCCCTTTACCTTTAGGCCCCCCAAACCTTTGGTTTCCCTTTACCTTTAGGCCCCCAAACCTTTGGTTTCCCTTTACCTTTGGGACCCCCAAACCTTTGGTTTCCCTTTACCTTTAGGACCCCCAAACCTTTGGTTTCCCTTTCCCTTTAGGCCCCCCAAACCTTTGGTTTCCCTTTCCCTTTAGGCCCCCCAAACCTTTGGTTTCCCTTTACCTTTAAGACCACCAAGCCTTTGGGACCCCCAAACCTTTGGTTTCCCTTTCCCTTTAGGCCCCCCAAACCTTTGGCACCCCAAACCCAACTCCATCACCGTCCCCTCCCCACGGGAACATCCCGGTGTTGGGAAGGGGGTTTCAAACCAACCCCCCCCCTCCCTACTTCTCCCTCTCATTTTGGGGGTGCCGCATCCCCAGGGCTGGCTTCCGTCACCCCCATCAACGACCTGCACGGCCCCGAGGCGCCGGCGCTGGCCAAGGGCGAGCGGTTGATGCGGTGCAAGGTGGGCAGCATCCACCGCCTGCTGGACCTCTATGGCTGGGCCCAGCTGGGACACGCGGCTGTCACCGTGAGCACCCCTAAAACGGGGGGGATTGGGGGGGTTTTGGGGTGGATTTGGGGTATTTTGGTTGGGTTTGGGGAGAGAAAGATTTTGAGGGGGGTTGGGGGTGGATTTGGGGTATTTTGGTGTGTTGGGAGAGAAAGATTTTGGGGGGTTGGGGGGTTTTGGGGGTGTATTTGGGGTATTTTGGTTGGGTTTGGGGAGAGAAAGATTTTGGGGGGTTGGGGGGTTTTTGGGGGTGTATTTGGGGTATTTTGGTTGGGTTTGGGGAGAGAAAGATTTTGGGGGGGTTTTTGGGGGTGTATTTGGGGTATTTTGGTTGGGTTTGGGGAGAGAAAGATTTTGGGGGGTTGGGGGGTTTTTGGGGGTGTATTTGGGGTATTTTTGGTTGGTTTGGGGAGAGAAAGATTTTGGGGGGTTGGGGGGGTTTTTGGGGGTGGATTTGGGGTATTTTGGTGTGTATTTTGGTGTGTTGGGAGAGAAAGGTTTGGGGGTTTTTTTTTTTTTGGGGGTGTATTTGGGGTATTTTGGTCAGGTTTGAGGAAAGATTTTGGGGGGGATTTGGGCTTTTTTGGGGTGTATTTGGGGTATTTTTGGTGTGTTGGGAGAGAAAGATTTTGGGGGGTTGGGGGGGTTTTTGGGGGTGGATTTGGGGTATTTTGTTTGGGTTTGGGAGAGAAAGATTTGGGGGGGATTGTTTTTTTTTGGGGGTGTGTTTGGGGTATTTTGGTTGGGTTTGGGGAGAGAAAGATTTTGGGGGGGGTTGGGGGGTTTTTGGGGGTGTATTTGGGGTATTTTGGTCTGGTTTTGGGAGAGAAAGATTTTGGGGGGGTTGGGGCTTTTTTTGGGGTGTATTTGGGGTATTTTGTTGTGTTGGTTTTGGGAAAGCAAAGTTGGGGGGTGGGCATTTTTTGGGGTATTTTGGTTAGGTTTGGGGAGACAAAGATTTAGGGGGGTTTGGGGGTTTTTGGGTGTATTTGGGGTATTTTGGTTGGGTTTTGTAAGAGAAAGATTTTGGGGGGGGGTTGGGGTGTATTTGGGGTATTTTGGTGTGTTGGGAGAGAAAGATTTTGGGGGGTTGGGGGGGTTTTGGGGGTGGATTTGGGGTATTTTGGTGTGTTGATAGAGAAAGATTTTGGGGGGTTGGGGGGTTTTTGGGGGTGGATTTGGGGTATTTTTGGTTTGGGTTTGGGGAGAGAAAGATTTTAGGGGGTTTGGGCTTTTTTGGGGTGTATTTGGGGTATTTTGGTGTGTTGGGAGAGAAAGATTTTGGGGGGGTTGGGGGTGGGGGTGTTTGGGGGTATTTTGGTTGGGTTTGGGAGAGAAAGATTTGGGGGGGGTTGGGGGTTTTTGGGGGTGTATTTGGGGTATTTTGGTCTGGTTTTGGGAGAGAAAGATTTTGGGGGGTTGGGGCTTTTTTGGGTGTATTTGGGGTATTTTGGTGTGTTGGTAGAGAAAGATTTTGGGGGGTTGGGGGGTTTTTGGGGGTGGATTTGGGGTATTTTGGTGTGTTGGGAGAGAAAGGTTTGGGGTGTTTTTTTGGGTGTATTTGGGGTATTTTGGTCAGGTTTGGGGAAAGATTTTGGGTTTGGGTTTTTTTGGGGTGGATTTGGGGTATTTTGGTGTGTTGGGAGAGAAAGATTTTGCGGGGTTGGGGGGTTTTTGGGGGTGGATTTGGGGTATTTTGTTTGGGTTTGGGAGAGAAAGATTTGGGGGGGATTGTTTTTTTTTGGGGGTGTGTTTGGGGTATTTTGGTTGGGTTTGGGGAGAGAAAGATTTTGGGGGGGATGGGGGGTTTTTGGGGGTGGATTTGGGGTATTTTGGTCTGGTTTTGGGAGAGAAAGATTTTGGGGGGGTTTTTGGGGGTGTATTTGGGGTATTTTGGTGTGTTGGTAGAGAAAGATTTTGGGGGGTTAGGGGGTTTTTGGGGTGGATTTGGGGTATTTTGGTTGGGTTTGGGAAAGATTTTGGGGGGTTGGTTTTTTTTGGGGGTGTATTTGGGGTATTTTAGTTCTGGTTTTGGAGAGAAAGATTGTGGGGGGATTTGGGGCTTTTTTGGGGGTGTATTTGGGGTATTTTGGTGTGTTGGTTTTGGGAAAGCAAAGTTGGGGGGTGGGCATTTTTGGGGGTATTTTGGTTAGGTTTGGGGAGAGAAAGATTTTGGGGTGTTGGGGGTTTTGGGGGTGTATTTGGGGTATTTTGTTCAGGTTTTGTGAAAGATTTTGGGGAGGTGAGGCTTTTTGGGGGTGTATTTGGGGTATTTTGGTCAGGTTTGGGGAGACAAAGATTTTAGGGGGGTTGGGGTTTTTGGGGTGTTTTTGGGATATTTTCGTCAGGTTTTGTGAAAGATTTTTGGGGGGTTGTTTTTTTTTGGGGTGTATTTGGGGTATTTTGGGCGGGTTTTGGGAGACAAAGATTTTTGGGGGGTTGGGGCTTTTGGGGCGTATTTTGGTCAGGTTTTTGGGAGAGAGATTTTGGGGTGTTTGGGGCTTTTTGGGGGTGTAATTGAGGTATTTTGGTGTGTTGGTTTTTGGAGAGTAAGGTTTGGGGGGGTTTGGGGCTCTTTTTGGGGGTGTATTTGGGGTATTTTGGCCAGGTTTTGGGAGAGAAAGATTTTAGGAGGATTTGGGGCTTTTTGGGTTTTTTGGGGGTATTTTGGGGTATTTTGGTCGGGCTTTGGGAGACAAAGATTTGGGGGGATTTGGGGCTTTTTGGGGGTGTGGGAGGTGTTTGGGGGGTGAGGGCTTTCAGGGCAGGGTGGGTTTGGGGGGTGCAGGGTTTTTTGGGGTGTTTTAAAGGTTTCTTTCACTTTTTGATATCTCTTTGGGCTTTGGGGGGAGGAATTTGGGGGTTTTGGTGGATTTGAGGACTTTGATGGTTCAGGGGGGCTTTGGGCAGGATCAGGGTTTGGGGGTACAGTGAGGGGTTTTGGGGTGATTTTAGGATGTCTTTCCCACTTTCATACCCACGTGTGCTTTCTCCTGCCGCAGCTACGCGTCAGCAAGGAACAGGAGCATTTCTTGGTGGCCCCACAGGGGCTGGCATGCAGCGAGGTGACAGCGGCCAGCTTGGTGAGCATCCCTGTTACCCCTATAGCATCACCCCCACCCTCGTTATCCCTGTTCATCACCCCCATCCCTGTTACCCCTATAGCATCACCCCCACCCCTGTTATCCCTGTTCATCAGCCCCATCCCTGTTACCCCTATAGCATCACCCCCACCCCTGTTACCCCTGTTAATCACCCCCATCCCTGTTACCCCTATAGCATCACCCCCATCCCTATTACCCCTATAGCATCACCCCCACCCCTGTTATCCCTGTTCATCAGCCCCATCCCTGTTACCCCTATAGCATCACCCCCATCCCTGTTACCCCATAGCATCACCCCCATCCCTGTTACCCCTGTAGCATCACCCCCATCCCTGTTATCCCTATCCCTCACCTCCATCCCTGTTACCTCCATCCATCACTTCCATACATGTTATCCCTGTCCATCACCCCCATCCCTGTTATCCTTATCCATCACCCCCATCCGTGTTATCCCTGTAGCATCACTCCCATCTCTGTTATCCCTATCCACCACCCCCATCCCTGTTATCCCTGTAGCATCACCCCCATCCCTGTTATCCCTATCCATCACCTCCATCCCTGTTATCCCTTATTCACCACTCCCATCCCTGTTATCCCTGTAGCATCACTCCCATCCCTGTTATCCCTATCCATCACCTCCATCCCTGTTATCCCTTATCCACCACCCCCATCCCTGTTATCCCTTATCCACCACCCCCATCCCTGTTATCCCTGTAGCATCACCCCCATCCCTGTTACCCCTATCCATTACCTCCATCTGTTATCCCTGTAACATCACCTCCATCTGTTATCCCTGTAGCATCACTCCCATCCCTGTTATCCCTATCCATCACCTCCATCCCTGTTATCCCTTATCCACCACCCCCATCCCTGTTATCCCAATCCATCATCCCCATCCCTGCTATCCCTGTAACATCACTCCCATCCCTGTTATCCCTATCCATCATCCCCATCCCTGCTATCCCTGTAACATCACCTCCATCCCTGTTATCCCTTATCCACCACCCCCATCCCTGTTATCCCAATCCATCATCCCCATCCCTGTTATCCCTGTAGCATCACTCCCATCCCTGTTATCCTTATCCATCACCCTCATCCCTGTTACCCCTATCCATCACCTCCATCTGTTATCCCTGTAGCATCACTCCCATCCCTGTTATCCCGATCCATCACCTCCATCCCTGTTATCCCTTATCCACCACTCCCATCCCTGTTATCCCTGTAGCATCACTCCCATCCCTGTTATCCCTATCCATCACCTCCATCCCTGTTATCCCTTATCCACCACCCCCATCCCTGTTATCCCAATCCATCATCCCCATCCCTGCTATCCCTGTAACACCACCCCCATCCCTGTTACCCCTCTCCATCACCCCCATTGCCGTCCCTTCCCATCACCCCCACAACCTGAAGGAGCTCCGAGCCCCCTCTCTGTCTCCCCCCCCCCAAGATCAAGGTGAACGTGCTGGGGGCCGTGGTGGAGCAGGGCAGCACCAACTTCACCCCGGACACGGGCAGCTTCAGCCTCCACGCCGCCATCTACGCCGCCCGCCCCGATACCCGCTGCATCATCCACCTGCACACCCCGGCCACGGCTGCAGTGAGACATCGGGGTTTTGGGGTGGGTTTTGGGGGGGGTTGGAAGGGGTTTGTCACCCCCCGTGTCCCGCCGCAGGTCTCGGCCATGCGCTGTGGGGTGCTGCCCATCTCCCGCGCCGCGCTGCTCCTGGGGGATGTCGCCTACTTCGACTTCAGAGGGGAGGTGGAGGAGGAAAGCGACCGGGTCGAGCTCCAGAAGTGCCTCGGTCCCACCTGCAAGGTGAGGGGATGGGGACACGCATAAGGGGTGAACCCATTGCACTCGCCTTGCCCCGCTGACGGCCCCATCGGTGCTGCAGATCCTGGTGCTGCGCAACCACGGCGTGCTGGCGCTGGGCGACACGGCCGAGGAGGCTTTCTACAGCATCTTCCACCTGCAGGCGGCCTGCGAGATCCAGGTGAGCACCCGGCCCTGCACCGAGCTGTGTGCGGCCTCAGCACCGTGCCCGTGGGGGTAAGCACTGGGATGTGTATGGCCTCAGCACCGTGCCCATGGGGATAAGCACTGGGATGTGTATGGCCTCAGCACCATGCTCATAGGGATAAGCACTGAGCTGTGTATGGCCTCAGCACCGTGCCCATGGGGGTAAGCACTGAGATGTGTATGGCCTCAGCACCGTGCCCATGGGGATAAGCACTGGGATGTGTATGGCCTCAGCACCATGCTCATAGGGATAAGCACTGAGCTGTGTATGGCCTCAGCATCGTGCTCATAGGGATAAGCACTGAGCTGTGTATGGCCTCAGCACTGTGCCCATGGGGATAAGCACTGAGCTGTGTATGGCTTCAGCACCGTGCCCATAGGGATAAGCACTGAGCTGTGTACGGCCTCAGCATCATGTCCATGGGGATAAGCACTGAGCTGTGTACGGCCTCAGCACCATGTCCATGGGGATAAGCACTGAGCTGTGTACGGCCTCAGCACCATGTCCATGGGGATAAGCACTGAGCTGTGTATGGCCTCAGCACCATGTCCATGGGGATAAGCACTGAGCTGTGTACGGCCTCAGCACCATGTCCATGGGGATAAGCACTGAGCTGTGTACGGCCTCAGCACCATGTCCATGGGGATAAGCACTGAGCTGTGTATGGCCTCAGCACCATGTCCATGGGGATAAGCACTGAGCTGTGTATGGCCTCAGCACCATGTCCATGGGGATAAGCACTGAGCTGTGCCATGTCTCCGCTACCACCATGGTGCCCTAGGACCATGCACTGAGCTCTGCCAGGTCCCTGCTGTCACCATGCTCCCCAGCGCACCCATGGGTGCTGTGGGTGCCGTGGCCATGCCCAGCCCCACCAGCACCCCCCCATACCCCTTTCTGTGCCGCAGGTGTCGGCGCTGGCGAGCGCGGGGGCACGGAGAACCTGATCGTGCTGGAGCGCAGCAAGCACCGTGCGCACGAGGTGGGCTCCGTGCGCTGGGCGGGCAGCACCTTCGGGCCCATGCAGAAGAGCCGCTTGGGCGAGCACGAGTTCGAGGCCCTCATGAGGATGCTGGACAACCTGGTGAGGATGCGGGCGCGCCGCAAACCCAACCGCGCTCCCATCTCCGCCGCCCCGGTGTCCCGCATCTCACACCCCCAACCCGCCGTGTCCTTCCGCAGGGGTACCGCACCGGCTACACCTACCGCTACCCCCTGGTGCAGGAGAAGAGCAAGCCCAAAAGCGATGTGCTCATCCCCGCCACCGTCACTGCCTTTGTGTTCGAGGAGGAGCCCGCCCCGGTGCCAGCGCTGCGGCAGCACGCACAGAAGCAGCAGAAGGAGAAGACGAGGTGGCTCAACACCCCCAACACCTACATGAGGGTCAATGTGGCTGAGGAGCAGCAGGGCAGCGCCGGCAGCCAGAAGACAAAGACGACGGTGAGGGGCGGCTGGGGCAGTGAAAGGGAAAGGGGGGGGAGTGTGTTTGGGGTGCTTTGGGGAGGGGGCTGGCTCTGGGAATGGTGTTAGCTTGGAGGGTGATGCGTAAAGGGAGGGATGGGGTCTCGCCAGGAACGCACAGGGGTTTGTGAGAAGCTGCAACTGATGCTTTCGGTACCTTTATTAAGCACAAACTTTCCTTTCCTCCTCTATTCCCTGCCGTAATAATGGCCATTGGAAAACCCCATCTCCCCAGCCTCACATAAATCACTTCTGCCTTATCTCCAACCTGAACTCCCCCTGTTTCAGTCTGAGCCCATCACCCCTTGTCCTATCCCTACAGTCCCTGATGAAGAGCCCCCCTCCAGCATCCTTGTAGCCCCCTTCAGACACTGGAAGCTGCTCTGAGGTCTCCATGGTTTCCCCCCCCCTTCACGATGTGTTGTTTATGGGGGTTTTCTCTCTGGATGCAGTGGCTGAAAGCAGACGAGGTGGAAAAAGGCAGCAGCGGGACCCCCATCCGAATCGAGAACCCCAACCAGTTCGTGCCCCTCTACACGGACCCACAGGAGGTGCTGGAGATGAGGAACAAGGTCCGGTCCTGGCCCCAAACCCGCCCCCTCACGAGGCTTTGGGATGTGCATGCAGGGCTCTTCACAGACCCATGGGCAGGGGGGCAGCTGTTTCCTTGCCCCTAATCCGCTTCTCACCCATAGATCCGGGAGCAGAACCGCCAGGATGTGAAGTCAGCCGGCCCCCAGTCCCAGCTGCTGGCCAGCGTGATCGCAGAGACCAGCCGCAGCCCCGTACGCCACCCCACATCCCAGCCCCACATCCCCTCCCCACAGCATTCCACCCCTCACGGCGGGGGTAACACTGCTCCGGGGCTGTTCCTTCAGTCCACAGAGAGCCATTTGGGAGATGCAGAAGCCAAAGAAGCATCCAGGGATGAGGCCCCCCCGGAGCCGGAGCCCCCGAACCCCTTCAGCCAGCTGACGGACCAGGAGCTGGAGGAGTACAAGCAGGAGGTGGAGAGGAAAAAGCTGCAGGGTAGGAAGGGGTAAAAGGGAGCCCTGATCCCAAATCCCATCCCATGGGGCTCGGGGGCAGCTCACGTCTCTGTTGGCAGGCGAGAAGGCTGCTGTGGCCGAGGAGAGCCAGGCTCCCCCTGCATCCCCACCGCAGAGCCCGGCCCCGACGCCTGCGGAGCCCTCGGAGGGTGAGTGAGCCCATGGGAGCAGGGGACATGAGGATGGGGTCTGCAGTGAGCAACTGAAGCAGAGGGATGCGGGTGGATGCAGCCAGACCCTGCTTGAACACGGATAAAGGTCTTCATCAGCCTGCTGGGCTCCAGTGGGGAGCAGCAGCACTGATGGGGGCTCACACCATAAAGGCAGCCAAGCCACCGTTGGCCTTGATCAGGAGCATCCATTGGTGGCTTTGTTGGGTGCAGGGGACGTCTCCATCCCTCCCCTAACAGAATCAACCAGGATGGGAAAGAGCTTTAAGCTCATCGAGTCCAACCATTCCCAGCACTGTCAAGGCCACCACTAACCCATGCCACTGAGGGTCTTGTCTACAAGGTTTGGGAACACTTCCAGCCTGTTCCAACGCCTGAGCACCCTTTGGGGCAAGGAATTGTTCCTCAGCTCCATCTAAACCCCCCCTGGTGCAGCTTGAGGCCGTTTCCTTTTGTCCCATCACCTAAGGATGCGACATTCCCATTGTTATATGGTCCCACGTTGTCACTTCCAGCGGGTCTTGGGGGGGGGGGGGGGGCAGTGGGAGCTTCTGCCTTGCTCATCGTGTGTCGTGGTGTCTGTGTCTGTGTCCACAACCTCTTCCTTTCTCTTTCCTCCCCGTGTGGCTCTCACCCAAGGAGTTACCTCTGACTCTGAATGCTTGTCACTGTAGTAAGTACGGAGAGGCCATCCTTAAGGAGGAGGGACACGGCTGCAGCTCGGGGTACCCTTGCTCTCCGTGGCCCCAGCGCTCTCCTGAGGGCTTTGCAGCAGGAAATGCCTTGGGTTTCCTTGTTCTCTTTGCTCCCTGCTTTCATTCCAGCCGCCAGGCCGGGATGGAGCCAGCCGCCCGCTCTGCCTGCCTCTTCCCGGCTCTCCATCCCACCTCGCTTATCCTGCAGGGAGAGGGGGGGGAGCTCAGGGAAGCAGCGCCTGAGGCAGGAGGGGATGGAGCCCCATTGTTCTCTATGCACAGAGGCCGAATCCTGCTCCTGCCCGGGGAGGGGGGGGGATTTAAACCTCCCCAGCGCCGGGCGCTGATGCCCAAACCTCACCTCTCCTCTTTGCCGTTGCCAAGGTGACAAGAAGGAGGATGGGGACCAAGCGCCGGCTGATTCTGCTGTTGAGAAGGAGCCGCCAGCGGTGGTGAATGGGAAGGAGGAGGAGCAAAGCACCGAGGAAAGCAAAGCCGGGGAGCGGACAACGTCCCCTGCCAACACCGACACGGATGCCCCTAAGGAGAAGGAGACGGTGACCAGCAGCCCCGTGTCCCCCGAAGGTTCCCCTTCCAAATCGCCCTCCAAGAAGAAGAAGAAATTCCGGACCCCGTCTTTCCTGAAAAAAGGCAAAAAGAAGGAAAAGATCGAATCCTGAGTGTCCTCCGAAGCCTCCGCCCCCCAGTCCGCTCCGGAGGGAGGCACCAAAGACGCAGGGATGGCTCCTGCAGCTGAAAAGCCGGGAGATGAGCTGTTTCCTAGGCTATTCCCGGCACCAGGCACCTCATCCCCTCGTCACCCGCTTATTGGAGGCGGTCACTGAGCTTAGGAAAGATTTGTGGCCCCTGTTTGCTGCTTGGGGAAACACCCACCCGCTGCAATGTCCCTTCTCCCTCCTCTCTCCTGGGTACCAGCCCCTTTCCCAGTCCCGGATTGAGGGTTGGATGTGGGGTGTTTGCTCCCCCTTTGTGAATTGCAGGGCGCAGCTCGGATGCGCTCGGTTTGAGGACGAAAAGGGTGCTTTTTGTTGTTCTTTTCCTACCTTCTTGTCCCAAGCTCCACTGGAATGGCTTCACACACCCCCTGGGCAACATCGGGTGCTGCTTTGCCAAGGGAATTGGATCAGAATGGGAGGGGGGAATTTGCTCTTCCTGAAGGAGAGCCCACAGCCTTGTGAGCCTTTCCTTTATGGATCGTAACCTTCCTCCTCGTGGGATGGAGTCCCCTTCTCCTGGTGCTGCTGCCTCTGTGTGTGTGCGGGATGAGGAAGCGCAGCCGGATTCCCCATCACCGGACCCGCACCGGAGAAGGGAGAAGGAAAAGGAGCCTCTGGGAAGGGTCTGTGCTACTAAAACTGAGCAAAACTTCACTAAGTGCTACTTCGGGATGAAGACGCTGCCACCTCACTGCCGATGCCACCGTCCCCATCGCCCCGTCACCACTGGTTGTGCCACGCCGACACCATCCACGTGCTTTTGCCGAGCTCTGGAATCCCAAGCACTCCTCCCTGGTTGTTTCCTTGCCTCCCAGCCTCGCCTCCAGCTCTCCATACAGCGACATGACCATCATTCCAACCTCCCGGCCGTGCCCAAAGGGAAGACGAGACCCAGCGATGCTTTGCCCTGATGCTGCTCCAATGCTGGTATTAAGGGGACAAAACCAATGGATCAGCCCCTATCCTCCTCCAACACACAGGGATTTGCCATCTTCATGGGGACAGGGCTTCCTCCGGGTCCTGGATCCATGGGCTCTGCGTTTCCTCACCCCAGTCCCATATTCCCACAGGCCACCACCACGTTTCAAAGCCTTTTTGCTCTTGGCTTTTGTTTTCCCTTCCGGAAGAGCAGAAAGCCAAAGGGAGGAGGTCTGGGGAATGCAGGATGGGTTTTCCTCGCAGGGCGAGTGAGTTGGAGAGTAAAACATCAGGCCCAGGGGTCAAAAGAGGGGACCCTGAGCTCCCCCATTCACAATCCACGAGGATAAGCGGATGCCCATCACCTTTATATCAGCCTTTGAGATGCCCCCCGCAGCTCCGTACCCATTTCCCATGGGATGTTGTTAACTGCCACGGGTCCCAAAGCTCTCTGGGGCCCCTTTGCCATGGAGCCTGCATGTCCCAAGCCACAAACCGCCATAGGGATGGCTGTGCTGCCTCTCGGGTTGGTTCATTATAACACTGCCGCCCCCCCTGCGCTGCTCTGTATCCCATGGGCTGCGCAATTCCTTTTCTCCAGGGGTTTTTAGAGGAGACAGGGATCTATTTCCCCACTTGGAATCCTGGGGTGCGTTAAGCATCTCCCGCAGCATAGGGAAGCAAGAGGTACTGATGCCTTCAGCGGGTCAAATAGATGCCACTATGATGCTGGTCCTCGCTGCAGATACAGGGTTACAGTGACCTGACTTGACAGGGCATCCCTGGGCCCATTCCATCCTCTGGATAACATGGAAAACTCTCCCTCTACCCCCTACCAGCGTTTTACCCCTATTGCAGCCCATTGGCTTGCTGCTTCCTTCTCCTTCCAGCCGCGGGATGTGGGAATCTCGTGGCAGGGAACCGGGAACGCATCCCTGGATGCAAACCATTGCTGCCCCCTTCACGCCTGCATCCCATGGAAGAGGAGAGGCCAGTTCCAACGTGGGCGATGATGATGATGATGATGATGATGATGATGATGGGGTTCTATGGACTGGGGAGGGTCCCATCGAGGATGCGGGTGATGAAGCCCAGAGGGGGCTCTGCCATTGCGGGGAGCAAGGGGAGGGCAAGCGCCGGTGTCCGACAATCGCTGTGTGTAAATAACCCCGTGTTTGGCACCTCCAGGGCTGCGGAGCTTCGGGGGGGGGGGGCGGAAGGCCGGGGTTGTGGGGCTGGGGTTGTGGGGCTGGGGCTCACACCCGCCCCGTTGCCGTGGGGCGTACGGAGGGAGAGGGGCCGGAACGTTTTGGGCTGCGGAACCAAAAGGCGGCGGCGCCGGTTGCCGGGGGAGCCGGAAGTGAAGGCGCTGAGGGGCGGCCATGGGCCGCAGCCGCTCCCGGTCGCCGCCGCGGCGCGGTGAGGAGGGGACCAGGACCGGGATCGGGATCGGGATCGGGACCGGGACCGGGATCGGGATCGGGATCGGGATCGGGATCGGGACCGGGATCGGGTTGGGGGCTCCGGGAGCGGGTAGAGGCCGGGCCCCGGGGGGCGATGCATGGATGCGGGCGAGGAACCGGGGGTAGGGCCGGGCCCTGCGTCTTCCCCCGGCCCATGGGCAGCGGTGAGCGGGGTGAGGCCGCGGTGGGCCCCGTTATCCTCCTGCTCCTGCCGCACGCATCAGCGGTCCGCGAGCGGGTGAGCGCGGCCAGGGCTGGGGAAGGGGGTTCCTGCGGCCGCTGTGGGTGCTGGTGGGGATGTGTGGGGCCAGCGGGGCTGGTTGTGGGGTATCCGTATGGGAGCTGTCACTGCACAGGGTCCCAGCCTGGGTGGGGATGAAGGGACCTTAAAGCTCCTCCAGTTCCAACCCCTGCCACGGGCAGGGACACCTTCCACTAGAGCAGCTTGCTCCAAGCCCCTGTGTCCAACCTGGCCTTGAACACTGCCAGGGATGGGGCAGCCACAGCTTCTCTGGGCACCCTGTGCCAGCGCCTCAGCACCCTCACATAAATCACTTCTTCCTTATCTCCAACCTGAACTCCCCCTGTTTCAGTCTGAACCCATCACCCCTTGTCCTATCCCTACAGCCCCTGATGAAGAGCCCCTCTCCAGCATCCTTGTAGCCCCCTTCACACACTGGAAGCTGCTCTGAGCTCTCCACACAGCTTCTCATCTCCAGCCCCAATGCTCTCAGCCTGGCTCCTATGGGGTCCTATCAGTGGGGTTTGCCCCCAGGAGGGCTGAGGAAGCAGGAACTGACCCCGGCTTTTCCCACCGCAGAACGCAGGCGTTCCCGATCCGCCTCCCGGGACAGGGAGCGGCGGCGCAGGGAGCGATCGCGCTCGCGGGATAGGGACCGGAGGCGGAGCCGCTCTCGCTCCCCGCACCGGCGGCGCTCCAGGTGAGAGGCTGGGATGAGCCCGGCTGAGGCTCGCTGCGGGGCGGCGCCGGGAAGCGGGATGGGGATAACGTGGCGGAGACGAACGAGGCGAACCCGCCTGCCTTTGTAACCTCAGGTCACCGCGACGGCACCGCTCCAGCTCGTCCTCCCCCCCGCGGCTCAAGGAGAGGCGGGACGAGGAGAAGAAGGAGATAAAAGACTCCAAAGGCAAAGAGCGGCAGATCACGGGTAAGGGAAGCGGGGTTTCCTCTTTAAATATGGCCCCAGTGAGGCTGGATTGGTGCTGCTTTAACGTGCTCTTGTCACAGCCTGATGGCTGCTTTTATCCAGCTCTTTCATTCCATTGCCTTGGCAGAGGAGGATCTGCAGGGCAAGACAGAAGAGGAGATCGAGATGATGAAAATGATGGGCTTTGCCTCCTTTGACACGACAAAAGTGAGTGTGGATGAGCACGATGGAGCCTGCAGCCACCTGTGACGCAGCCATTGTGCCCTTTTGGGGGGATACTCATAGAACAGAATCATGGAATCATCCAGGCTGGGAAAGAGCTTTAAGCTCATCCAGTCCAACCCTTCCCAGCACTGCCAAGGCCACCACTGACCCATGGTACTGAGGGTGTGTGAACACTTGCAGGGACGGTGACTGCAGCCCTGCCCTGGGCAGCCTGTTCCAATGCCTGAGCACCCTTTGGGGCAGGAATTGTTCCTCAGCTCCATCTAAACCTGCCCTGGTGCAGCTTGAGGCCGTTTCCTCTTGTCCCATCCCCTGTTCCTTGGGAGCAGAGCCCAGCCCCTCCTGGCTCCATCCTCCTCTCAGGCAGTTGTAGGGAGCCATCAGGTCCCCCCTGAGCCTTCTCTTCTCCACACTGAACCCCCCAGATCCCTCAGCCCTTCCCCATCACACTTGTGCTCCAGGCCCTGCATAGTTTTAGGACCTCTTTTTACTTTATCCCTTGCAGGGGAAGAAGGTGGACGGCGCCGCGAACGCGTACGCCATCAATGTGTCGCAGAAGAGGAAATACAGGTTTGTGCATTGCAAGGCTTTCCTTTTTCCAGTTGGGAATCCCAATGGGACGTTCCACCTTGGTCCTCAAGCAACCCTGGCGCTTCCTTGGTGGGAGGTTTCCTGCCCTTGTGTGTGTAAATCCGCAGGGAATTCCATTCCTGCTGGGTACCATCAAAGGTGTTTCCATGTGGATTTGCTGATGACTGTTCTTTCCCTCCGTCCGCAGGCAGTACATGAACAGGAAAGGAGGATTCAACAGACCCCTGGATTTCATCGCTTGAGGCTGCGCTGGCACCGAGCGGGATTTCCCTTCCCAGAGCCCGGATTTTGGAGGGATTTGGGATTATTCCCAACAAATCCATCAGCACGTCCTGGAATCCCTCATTATTTGTCATTACGATACCCCCCATGGGTCGTCCCTCGTTGGGATTTCATCGTATTTTCCCTGTTCTTTTGTGGCATTTCAATAAAACCCGGTGTAAATATTAGGACTTTTAATTCTTACTTTCATAGTCTTCAATTAGAACCTTCTAGAACTCAATCAGACCACGTGGGGCCGCAACAGCACCTCATTGAGACCCTCAAATTGGGGGGAAAAACCCCTTTTTTGGCTTATTTGGACAGCCTGGCTGCTGTTTGCTGCATGCGAGCGCCCTGCGCCGCTGCCGCCCTCCGGTAATTAACGCCCTTCGCTAACGAGCATCGCTTGCAGCTGAGGCCCCGCCCCTTTTACCGCTTGCGGCCTCGCCATTGGCGAGGTGCGGCCTCTCGCGCCTCCCAATAGGGCGAGGCGGCCGGGTGGGCGTGTCCAACGGGGGCCAGACGGCGTGGCGCGCTCCTCCAATGGCAGCGCGAGGGAGGCGGGGCTTGAGGGGCAAACACCCCGCCGTCTCGTGGTGGTGGTGGTGGGCGGGGCGTCCTCCAGGCGTCCTCCAATGAGCAACGCCGCCGGTGGGGCTTCCACCAATGAGCGGCCGCCGGGGGCGGGGCCTGGCGGAGCGGCCGGTTGAGGCGGACACAGCCGCCGTTGCTCCTCCGCCGCCGCCGCCGCCGGTCCCGGCCGGGCCTCGCCCTCCCCTCAGGCAATGGCGGCCTGCGGCGGGGTCGGCATCCGGCTGCTGCTGGAGGCCGCCGAGTACCTGGAGCGCCGGGAGCGAGGTACCGCTGCCCCCTGCCGTCCCCCTCGGGCCCCCCCCGGGCCCCGCCGGCCCTCACCGGTTGTGTCTCCTCAGAAGCCGAGCACGGGTACGCGTCGCTGCTGCCCGGCGGGAAGGACGGGGAGGCCGGGCAGCGCCGCGCCAAGGCCCCGAGGAGGAGCGGCGGAGGCGGCGGCAGGTAACGGCGGGGAGCGGGGGTTGAGGGTCGGGGTCAGGCAGCCATAAAGTTGGGGCGGGGGGGGGGTGTCCTGCGGCCGGGCCCTGTGCAGTGGGTGCGTGGGGGTGTCGGGGGGGACCCTGCTGTCAGTGCGGTGCTGAGGGCCCAGTACCCATGTCAGGGGCTGTGTGACCACATGGGGACTTCCCTGTCACCCAGTGACCAAGGTGGGTCACATCCTGCTGTCACTGGGTGCTTGGGATGCAGTGAGGTCCTGGGGGGTTGCTCCTGTCACAGGGGTGCTGAGGGTCCAGCACCGCTGTCATGGGGTGTGTGACCACATGGGGACTCACCTGTCACTGTGTGACCAAGCTGGGTTACATCCTGCTGTCATGGGGCACCCTCCTGTCACTGGGTGCTTGGGATGCAGTGGGGTCCTGAGGGGTTGCTCCTGTCACAGGGCTGCTGAGGCTCCAGCACCGCTGTCATGGGGTGTGTGACCAGATGGGGACTCCCTGGTCACCAAGTGACCAAGATGGGTCACATCCTGCTGTCACTGGGTGCTTGGGATGCAGTGAGGTCCTGCTGTCACAAGGCACATGGAAGCACTGGGGGGGATCCTTCCATCACCATGGCTCCAGCACCACTGTCATGGGGTGTGTGACCAGATGGGGGCTCCCTGGTCACCAAGTGACCAAGCTGGGTTACATCCTGCTGTCATGGGGCACCCTCCTGTCACTGGGTGCTTGGGATGCAGTGAGGTCCCGAGGGGTTGCTCCTGTCACAGGGGTGCTGGGGCTCCAGCACCGCTGTCATGGGGTGTGTGACCAGATGGGGACTCACCTGTCACCGTGTGACTGAGCAGGGTGACATTGCACTGCTATGGGGTGCCCGGCAGGGCTGGATGGGACCCTCCTGTCCCTGGGTACTGGGGCTCTGCCCTCGCAAAGCCCCATATCCCTCCCCCCTATCCCCATCACAGCTCCATCAACAGGTCCCCATCAGCACCCAAAGCCCCAGGCTGGGCCGGTCCTTCGGGAGCATCCCGGTGGGATGTGAGGGGCAATCTCCTGCCTTGGGGAAGTTGGGGTTGGAAACATGCAAGTGTCTGACGTGGCGGGAGGGTTTGCTGCAGGGAATGGGGAAGTTGGGCTTTTGGTTTCAGGCATGCGCTGCTGAAGCTTGGGAAGGGAAACCACGGTCAGGGCTGGATTCAATCCCTGAGTGCTGCTTTCCTGGGGAATTCCTCAGTTATCCTCCTCAGAATCCATCCAGAGCCTCAACACGAGTTCACCCTCGCTGTTCTGGGGTCCTCAACATAAGGACATGGAGCTGTGGGAGCAAGTGCAGAGGAGGCCATGGGGATGCTCAGGGGCTGGAGCAGCTCCCGTATGGAGCCAGGCTGAGAACATTGGGGCTGGAGAAGAGAAGCTGCGTGGAGAGCTCAGAGCAGCTTCCAGTGTCTGAAGGGGGCTACAAGGATGCTGGAGAGGGGCTCTTCATCAGGGACTGGAGTGACAGGACAAGGGGTGATGGGTTCAAACTGAAACAGGGGGAGTTCAGGTTGGAGATAAGGCAGAAGTGATTTATGTGAGGGTGCTGAGGCGCTGGCACAGGGTGCCCAGAGAAGCTGTGGCTGCCCCATCCCTGGCAGTGTTCAAGGCCAGGTTGGACACAGGGGCTTGGAGCAAGCTGCTCTAGTGGAAGGGGTCCCTGCCCGTGGCAGGGTTGGAGCTGGGTGAGCTTTAAGCTCCCTTCCTTCCCAAGCTGGAATTCAGTGATGTTGAATACCACAACACCTCCTGTCCGAGCTCCAAGCAGTTGTAACCCTGCCAGCCTGGGGGTTACATCTTTTCCAGGCAGTATTCCATTATTCCTTCCGGGATCGCGGACTGATTGCTTTACCCCCTGGTTTGTGCAACAGAAACCTTGGAAAACCTTGGAGCCAGTTTCTGTGTCCTTGGAGTTGCTCTGCTCCCTTCTGCCTTTCCAGCGCCCACTGTGGCTGATTCAGGGTCATCACCAGCTGAGCCTGGGGAGGGCTGAGCCCTGGAATGCTGCCTCTGCACCGGGAAGTACCCGTTGAAACAAGGGAGAGCTCGTTGAGCAGAGCAGAGCCTGAGCAGGTCCATCCCGACAGTCACCGGGAGCCCATTGCTGCCTGCTTTAGAGGCTGTTTGCCAAGGGGGGAGCACCAGCTCTGTCACATCCTCCTGCTTGGGAGCACCCCAGCACCGAGGGCTGGACCTTTGAGAGGTGTTATAGCAGCAAACACCTCCTGGAACACCCCCTGAGCTCACTTCCGACCCTCAATCCCAAGGGATGTTTCCTTCTCCCTCCTGCCATCACCCATTAGGAGGCAGCTTGAGGTCTCTCGGTCTCATCTCAAGCAGGTTCTGAGGGGATCCGTGGTGTTTGTGGCTCCAAATTCCCCTTCTGGAAGATTTGGAGCTTGTTCTGCACTTAAAGCCAAGCAAAGGTTTGCTTGGAGCAAGCTGCTCCAGTGGGAGGTGTCCCTGCCCGGGGCAGGGGTTGGAGCTGGGTGAGCTTTAAGGTCCCTTCCAACCCAAACCAGGCTGGGATTCTGGGATTCTCTGCTTTATGACCAAGGGAAAAGCTTGGTTTCACCACAGTCATGAGGTTTGCAAGCAGTGCTGAAAGGCTTGGTGGGGGGATTTTATCCAGAGGGAAGTGTCATGGAGAGATCCCACGGGAGCCAAAGACCTGAGTCCTTCCTGGCTGCGTGCAGATGCCATTCCCTTGCGTGTCAGGATAAGGCTTGTCTGAGTGAGAGGCTTTTCCATTGGGATTGAGTGATTCTGGACTCTCTGGGAGCAGGTTGCTTCAAGCTGTGCCACCAGGAAGCAAATCCCAAGGAGGCGGGACGAGCATCAGAAAGGCTTCCCAAGCATCCCAAAATGCTGCTGGTGACGAAGACTCCAGCGAGTGTCTTTGGAACATCCCTTATTTTCCCTTCAGGATCAGGCTCTGGGGTAAACCAGCGCTCCCAGAGCCTTTCACTGCCAGTTTTCCTGGAATTTCTCCATTATATTGAGCCATCTGCATCCCTTTGTGCTGCTTTCACTGTCCCCAGGGTACCGAGTGGCTCTGGAAGCTCCAAGGTTTTCAGTTTTCCAGGGAATGTTGACGAAGACGGGCCTGTTGATCCTCATGGTGGTGTCCCCAGTCAGACAGGAGTTAATGAGTGGTTCTTTCTCTTCCAGGTCGACACACAGTGAGATGGAAAAGAACAGGTAAGGGTTTGGGCGAAGCGCTGCTTTTCCAGGGGTTGGGAACCAGGGAGGTGCTGAGATGCAGAGTGGGAGGGCAGGGATAAGGCAGCTGCATAAAGTGGCCACCAAGTGGCATCCCCTGGCACCCGCCTGCCTTGGGTAGAGCAGAGCTGTGTTGAAATCGTGTTGGTTCATTGCACAAGTGGGTGCTGAGTGCTCTGTCCTTCCCATCCCTTCTGTCCAACTGCCTGACAGGAGGATGGAGCCAGGAGGGGGCTCCCAAGGAACAAGGGATGGGACAAGAGGAAACGGCCTCAAGCTGCCCCAGGGCAGGTTTAGCTGGAGCTGAGGAACAATTCCTGCCCCAAAGGGTGCTCAGGCATTGGAACAGGCTGCCCAGGGCAGGGCTGCAGTCACCGTCCCTGCAAGTGCTCACACACCCTCGGTGCTATGGGTCAGTGGTGGCCTTGGCAGTGCTGGGAATGGTTGGACTGGATGATCCTGAAGCTCTTTTCCAACCTGGTTGATTCCATGATTCCGTGAGCAGGTTGGGAAGCTGAGCTTCAATCCACGCAGGGATTAAACACCCTCCTTTGCTTAATACCTTAATCCCATCCTGTGGTGGTCAAGCCTTGGCTGGCACTGGGAGCAGTGATGGGCAGATGGATATCTCATGGGGTGTAAGGGATTGCACAATGAAACGAGCCCATGGGCTTGGGAGGTTCTTGTGCTCAGGAGATGAATCCTTTGAGGTTTTCCTTCTGCTGTTACATCCCAGTGGGAACTGGGCACAAATGGGTCTGTGCCTGTGTCTGTGTGTGTGCCTCTAGCTTTGGAGCGGAAGCCCCAGGTTATGTAGTGCTGGGGGCCGTCAATCCCAGCCTGGTTTGGGTTGAAAGGGACCTTAAAGCTCCTCCAGCTCCAACCCCTGCCACAGGCAGGGACCCCTTCCACTGGAGCAGCTTGCTCCAAGCCCTTGTGTCCAACCTGGCCTTGAGCACTGCCAGGGATGGGGCAGCCACAGCTTCTCTGGGCACCCTGTGCCAGCGCCTCAGCACCCTCACAGGGAAGAGCTTCTGCCTAAGAGCTCATCTCAGTCTCCCCTCGGGCAGGTTAAAGCCATTCCCCTTGGCCTGTCCCTGCAGGCCCTTGGCCAAAGCCCCTCTAAAGGTTTCCTGCACTGGAGCTGCTCTCAGGTCTCCCCTTCACACAGCAGAGGGGCAGGATCACCTCCCTGAGCTGCTGCTCACGCTCTGGGGGTGCAGCCCAGCACATGGTGGTGGTGGTGGGGGGGCTCTGGGCTCAAGCTGGGTCATGGGGAGCTTCTCATTGACCAACTCCCCTCCAAGTCCTTCTGGGCTGCTCTCAATCACTTCTCATCCCTGAGCCCATCAGTGCTTAGGAGCAAGGACCTCGTGTTCTGTTTGCGCTGGAGCTCAGGAGTTCCTTTGTGCAGGCAGGTGCCTCTTTACCCCTCGCACACCCAAAGAAGATAGGGCAGGAACTTGGCCAAACCCCAGCTCACAGCTGCCTGTGCTGATGGTGTGGATTGAAGGTGGGTGTTGCAAGGATGTGACCTTCACCTGGGTTCTCCATGGAGGAAGGGGCCTCCTGGAGGAGCCAGCCTTCCCCTTGGCAGTGGTAAAGGGTTCGTGTTGCTGCAGCCAGTCTGGGTGTCACACACAGAGGGAGGGATGCCGGGTGCCTGAGGAGCCTGGGGATGTTCAGGGCCGGCGATCCCTCAGGGACCTGGTTTTGTGGTCACTGTGTGCCAAGGTGATGGATCCAGATCCGGAAGCGCTCCCAAGTGGGAACCTGATGGCTCTGTTGTGATCTGCCTGCAGGCGAGCTCACCTGCGGCTCTGCTTGGAGAAGCTGAAGAGGCAGGTCCCGCTCGGGCCCAAGGACAGCAGGCACACCACGCTGAGCCTGCTGAGGAAGGCCAAATTGTACATCAAGGTGAGCACGGGCTTCTTTGGTGCTGCTGAACCCACCCACTGTGGAGATGCAGGCATAGAACCCCAGCCTGGTTTGGGTTGGAAGGGACCTCAAAGCTCATCCAGCTCCAACCCCTGCCACGGGCAGGGGCACCTTCCACTAGAGCAGCTTGCTCCAAGCCCCTGTGTCCAACCTGGCCTTGAGCACTGCCAGGGATGGGGCAGCCACAGCTTCTCTGGGCACCCTGTGCCAGCGCCTCAGCACCCTCACATAAATCACTTCTGCCTTATCTCCAACCTGAACTCCCCCTGTTTCAGTCTGAACCCATCACCCCTTGTCCTATCCCTACAGTCCCTGATGAAGAGCCCCTCTCCAGCATCCTTGTAGCCCCCTTCAGACACTGGAAGCTGCTCTGAGCTCTCCACGCAGCTTCTCTTCTCCAGCCCCAATGTTCTCAGCCTGGCTCCATACAGGAGCTGCTCCAGCCCCTGAGCATCCTCGTGGATTGAAGTTGAACCAAACATCCCAGGGCAGGGCTGCAGTCACCGTCCCTGCAAGTGTTCACACAGCGTGGAGCCGAGGCCTCAGTGCCATGGGTCAGTGGTGGCCTTGGCAGTGCTGGGAATGGTTGGACTGGATGAGCTCAAAGCTCTTTTCCAACCTGGTTGATTCCATGGGCTTGACGTCCCGTGTTGAAGCCAGGGAGCCTCTCGGAAGCTGATGGTGGCTGTGTTTAGGTGGCTTGGGGAGCAAAAGGGACATTGCATATGTGGCTGGAGGCTGAGAGCTCAGGATGAGGCTGGGAGCTCAGCATGAGGCTGGGAGCTCAGGATCAGGCTGGGATCTGAGGATCAGGTTGGGAGCTCAGGATCAGGCTGGGATCTGAGGATCAGGTTGGGAGCTCAGGATCAGGCTGGGATCATCAGGATGAGGCTGGGAGCTCAGGATCAGGCTGGGATCTGAGGATCAGGTTGGGAGCTCAGGATCAGGCTGGGATCTGAGGATCAGGCTGGGATCTGAGGATCAGGCTGGGATCATCAGGATCAGGCTGGGAGCTCAGGATCAGGCTGGGATCTGAGGATCAGGTTGGGAGCTCAGGATCAGGCTGGGATCTGAGGATCAGGCTGGGATCATCAGGATCAGGCTGGGATCTGAGGATCAGGCTGGGATCATCAGGATGAGGCTGGGAGCTCAGGATCAGGCTGGGATCTGAGGATCAGGTTGGGAGCTCAGGATCAGGCTGGGATCTGAGGATCAGGCTGGGATCTGAGGATCAGGCTGGGAGCTCAGGATCAGGCTGGGATCTGAGGATCAGGCTGGGATCTGAGGATCAGGCTGGGATCATCAGGATCAGGCTGGGATCTGAGGATCAGGCTGGGATCATCAGGATCAGGCTGGGATCTGAGGATCAGGCTGGGATCATCAGGATCAGGCTGGGATCTGAGGATCAGGCTGGGATCTGAGGATCAGGCTGGGATCATCAGGATCAGGCTGGGATCATCAGGATCAGGCTGGGATCTGAGGATCAGGCTGGGATCATCAGGATCAGGCTGGGAGCTCAGGATCAGGCTGGGATCTGAGGATCAGGTTGGGAGCTCAGGATCAGGCTGGGATCTGAGGATCAGGCTGGGATCTGAGGATCAGGCTGGGAGCTCAGGATCAGGCTGGGAGCTCAGGATCAGGCTGGGATCTGAGGATCAGGCTGGGATCATCAGGATCAGGCTGGGATCTGAGGATCAGGCTGGGATCATCAGGACCAGGCTGGGATCTGAGGATCAGGCTGGGATCTGAGGATCAGGCTGGGATCATCAGGATCAGGCTGGGATCATCAGGATCAGGCTGGGAGCTCAGGATCAGGCTGGGAGCTCAGGATCAGGCTGGGAGCTCAGGATCAGGCTGGGATGTCAGGCTGCCTTCTGTCCCTCTCCTCCCCTGCAGAAGCTTGAAGACGACGACAGGAAAGCCACGCACCAGATAGAGCAGCTGCAGCGGGAGCAGCGGCACCTCAAGAGGCGGCTGACGAGGCTGGGCATGGGGAGGATAAGGATGGACAGCATCGGCTCCACCGTCTCCTCCGAGCGCTCCGACTGGGATAGAGGTGGGACCGGGCGCTCGGGATGGAGGGGGTGGGAGCTCTGCCCGGCCGTGCTGTAACCCTGCTCCTCCTGCAGAGGAGCTGGACGTGGATGTGGAGAGCACGGACGACCTCCCTGCAGACCTCGACTGGAGCAGCAGCAGCCCCAGCGACTCGGATGAGAGGGGGAGCCTGCGGAGCGCCTGCAGCGACGAGGGGTATTCCAGCTCCGGCGTCAAGAGGCTGGAGCTGCAGAGCGACTGCAAACCCTCTCTTGGGCCATAAGAAGTGACTCCCGTGGCTGTTTCACCCCTGGCTCTTTCCCGTTGGATCCTGTTAGGTAGCACACCGGGCCCTTCCCATCCTTCTCTTGCGCATCCAAGAACCTTCATGGAGCACCGACCGAAAGGAAGCCAAACTGTTTGGAACTCGAGTCCCAAAATGCCACTTGGGGCTGGGGGGGTGTGTGTGGTGTGTGAGTGCCTCCAGTTCCCATCTAGAAACTCCTCTCTATGAGATTCCCACATTCCAGCCGCATTTGGAAGCACCTGAGGGTATCACAGCAGTAACAGCAACCTCCAAACCCCTCCCTGGTGCTGTCACTGCCTGGTATTTAGGATCTACTCTGTATTTGCCTGGAGACATCACATCCCAGTAGTTGATGGCAGGGCCCAAATGTAGAGGGTTTTGGGAGCCAGGCACTCGTGTAGTTTAGATCCATGGAGGAATGGAGGCGAGTTGTGTCTTGGGATTGCACTGCCAGTGTTAGTCGGGAGGCTTGTCCCCACCGACTCTAAATATTCAGGGGAGCAGTACAGCCATATACAGCCCAGCCTTGCAGCGTTCCCAGAGCCAATTCCTTACAGCAGGAATGCTGCTCGGGGAGCTGTGGGTCCTTAGCACCCTTCTCAGGTCGGATGCTTTCATTCTGGGAGGTTTTGTGTCCTACCCAAAACCAAACAGTGCAAACTGTCCCCATCCCTCGTGGCTGCAACGGCGCTGTTCCAGGCTCCTGGAATTCCCTTTTCCGCCCTTCTTGTCTCTGGGACAAGACGTTTTTCTACCTCGGAGAGATGAACAGAGATTACCTCCATGCCTTTAGCACAAACCCCCTCCAGAGGATGCCTCGTGTCTCGCACAATAACCCGCTGTGGTTGATGGCTCAGCAATAACCGGCCCATCCCAAGCACTTCTCCATCCAGCAGCGATCTCCTGGGCACTCCAAGGGGCTCCTGGAGGATTTTGGTCGCTGCCTTCAGGGACACAAACCTGAACGTGCCAAGAAGGACCCAGGGCCCCAGTTGGAAAGCACAGAGAGCACAGGATCTATAAGCAGTTTGTTCATTTTCCTGTGTTCTGGAGGTGACCTTCTTAGGACTTTGTGCTTTTATGGATGTTGTGGATACTTTACACGTAGGGGTCTGCTAATGGAAGTATTCCTTTTCTCCTCGAGCCAGGCAAAGGTCTTTTCCACCCCTCAGCAAACCTCTCGATCCCTGTTGGGCTCCAGCATTGGGCAAGGAACCACTTCGTTCTTCCAGGATTTCTCCAAGTGCAGCCTCCAAAGCGCAGGGAAATGGAGAAAATCCAACTCAATTCCTGGTTTATTTCCTTTTTATTCCTTATTAACATCCCAAATCTGGGTTTGGATCACTTGAAGCCTCTGAGCAGTGGGAGGATGGGGGACAGAGCTGCCAAATCACTGCAGTCTCCCAAATCTCGGCTCTTTCTGCTGGGTTTTAAGAGAGGAAACCCAAACCCAAAACCATTTGGTTTAAAGCAGCTGGAGTTTTCCAACATCCAGCATCCAGCATGGAGCCGGATGCCTTCAGCATCGGCATTCCTCAATCCCAGCATCCAGCCTTTGCTACCTGAGCTTTCAAGGCAGAAAGTGGCAAAGCACAGTAAAAGGAAGTGGAATATCAGCCCTTTGCTTGCCAAGAGCCCTCCCTTGCCCTCTTCTGGAACCACCTTGGCATTCCCAGTGGAGCTCCGGATCGCACTACCTCTGAGCAGGGAAGGGTTGAATGGGAGGTAGGAAGAAGTTGAGGTTTTGAGTCTCAAGGTTTCAGCTCAGCATCACTTACTGCTTCTCTCAGTGCTGTGTCTGTTACCCTCCACCTTCTTGCCCTCTTCTTTCTATCCCTACCAAGTACCAGACCTTTGCACTGTTGGGATGATCCCACTCCGGCCTGGGAGCAGAGAGAAACAGGAACCCTCCAAACGGATGCACTAACCTGGAATGGGGCTGGAAACGCGGCGCTGGAATCCTGGTGAGCAGCCGGGCCCGTCTGCAGCGGCTCTGGGTCTCTCCAGGTCCCCCCTTTGCCAGCCTTTTCCTTGGAATTCACTGATCCACCAGCATTCCTAAGAACTAAGCTGCAGGTAGGACACTTGCGTAGATGGGGATTCACAAGAGGGGGCGAGGAGCTGCTCGCGCACCCCGCGTTTGCGATGGTCGTGGCACAGACCTGGGTTGAAAACACGCTTTTTTGGGTTAGTTTCCTTTTGCCTTTTTTTTTTCCTCATTCCAAACCACCATTAAGGGAGGTGAGACCCAATTCCAGGCAGGGAATGGGGGGGTCTCTCCAGAGGAAGTGGTGCTTTGCTGCCTGGTTTGTCCCCCCTGTAGCAATGGGTTAGGACCTTTGGAGCCGTTTTGGGGCTGGACACGAGGAAAACCACTGTATCCAAGCCCTGTGCTTCCCGGGAATCATCACCTCCTCACTGCTGAAAGCCACAAGGTTAGTTTCATCCTCTTGCTTTATCCAGCCCGTGAGCCATTGGAACACCATCACCAAGAAGCATCGCAGCGTTGGGTTGGGGTTTGTTGGGCTTTTGTTTGGGGGTCACATTCGGTGCTTTTCCACCTTTTCTGTTGCATTCATTTCATCTTTTTGCTTCCCGAGAAGCTGATCCCGCTCCGGCTCCGCCAGCTGGGAGAATGGGAATTGTGTTTCCAGCCGTTCTGGTCCTGCTGTACATACCCCGTTGTCATCCCCAGTCCTGTGTCAGGACCATCTGATGGTGCTTTTTTGATGGCGCCTGTTGGAGCACGTGTTGGAGCAGGCGTTTGCTGGGTACAGGGGTAATTCTGTCTCGTTGGACTGTTCTGACTGTTGTTAGAGAATAAATTATTGCAGGATGACAGAGAACCTTGTGCCTCCATCCCGCTGCCTCCATCCCTCCTTTCCCCATCCCACTGCCTCCATCTCTCCCTTCTCCATCCCACTCTTCCCTATCCTGCTGCCTCCATCCCTCCCTTCCCCATCCCACCGCCTCCATCTCCACCTTCTCCATCCCATTGCCTCCATCCCTCCCTTCCCCATCCCGCTGCCTTCATCCCTCCCTTTCCTATCCCACTGCCTCCATCCCTCCCTTCTCCATCCTGCTGCCTCCATCTCTCCTTCCCCATCCCACTCTTCCCTATCCTGCTGCCTCCATTCTGCCCTTCCCCATCCCACCGCCTCCATCTCTCCCTTCTCCATCCCATTGCCTTCATCCCACCTTTCCCTATCCTGCTGCCTCCATCTCCCCCTTCTCCATCCCTCCCTTTCCTATCCCACTGCCTCCATCCCTCCCTTCCCCATCCTGCTGCCTCCATCTCCCCTACCCCATCCTGCTGCCTCCATCCCATTTTGGTACCCAACAGGACAGAGCTTTGCTGCTGGAAGGGTCTGAGGCTTTCCCTATGGTGTGGGGTTGTCCTGGGGTTTAGGTCCCCATCCCCATCCCTGAATGCAGTCTCTGCTGCTTTGGAAAGCAGGGGACAAGCAGGGCAGGCACTGATCTGTGTCAGGGCTCAGCCCCTTGATTCCAGCCCCATGGAGTTGTCCTGGATAACGGCCACAGTTCCTGTATGGAGCTGCCATGGGCAGGCTCCATCTGTTGCCATACCTTGCACCTGCAGGAAGCATCCTGCATCCTTCATCCTGCACCCTTCCCAGTGCATCCTCTGTCCTGCATCCTTCATACCAAACCCTCAATCCCATATCTCACATCTTCCACTCTGCATCCCTCCATCCTGCATACTTCATACCAAACCCTCCATCCCACATCCTTCATACCAAACCCTCAATCCCGTATCTCACATCTTCCACTCTGCATCCCTCCATCCTGCATACTTCATACCAAACCCTCCATCCCACATCCTTCATACCAAACCCTCAATCCCGTATCTCACATCTTCCACCCTGCATCCCTCCATCCCACATCCTTCATACCAAACCCTCAATCCCATATCTCACATCTTCCACTCTGCATCCCTCCATCCCGCATCCTTCATACCAAACCCTCAATCCCATATCTCACATCTTCCACTCTGCATCCCTCCATCCCGTATCCTTCATACCAAACCCTCAATCCCATATCTCACATCTTCCACTCTGCATCCCTCCATCCCGCATCCTTCATACCAAACCCTCAATCCCATATCTCACATCTTCCACTCTGCATCCCTCCATCCTGCATCCTTCATCCCAAACCCTCAATCCCATATCTCACATCTTCCACTCTGCATCCCTCCATCCTGCATCCTTCATCCCACACTCTCCATCCACCGTAGACTCACAGCATCAACAAGGTTGGAAAAGAGCCTAGCTGGATCCAGCCAGTCCCTCAGCCTGCATCCACCCCATGCTGAAGATGGGAGTCCTGGGTTCTGCTGGAGGATGGATGGGATGGGATGGATGGAACAAGAGATGAGATGGGGTGAGGGGGTCCCCCTCTCTGTTTTGGAGGTGGTGATGGCTTTACCATGGGCCCTGTGCTCTCACAGGGATGCTGGTAGCCCTGGCTGGGTGCCCCTCTTTCCTCCCAGGCTGTGCTGCAGCTCTTCCTGCTGGGCTCTGCAGTGTGTGGAGACCCTTGGGGTCCCTTTCAGCCCCCAAACCCACCTGGGTGAAGCCCCCCCCCCCTCTTTCCTCCCCCATGGTGGGTGCAGGAGGCGCAGGGCATGGGGTGAGCGTGAGCTTTATTCTGTGGGGGCTCCCGTGCCCTGTCCCTGTGGTGCTGTCGGGGGGCTCACGAGAAGGGGATGGTGCTGAGTGGGGTGAGCTCCAGCCCCGGCTCCACGGTGCCAGGGGGCCGGTGCCGGGCGCTGGGCCGGGGGCTGCCGTGGTGCCCGTACTGGAACTTGATGCGGAGCTCCCCGATGCGGGCCTGGGGCAGGATGTTGGGGATCCACTCGATGATGAAGGGGGTCGGCTCCTTCTGGGTGGGAGACGTGTTCCCTGTGGGGAGAGGGAGAGAGTGTGGGTCCCGGTGCCCCTTGAGGTGTCGGGGTGGTGGTAGTGGTGTGGTGGTGGTAGTGGTGTGGTAATGGTGTTGGTGTAGTGGTGTTTGTGCTATGGCGTTGGTATTGGTGTGGTGGTGGTGGTATTGGTAGTACTGCTGTTGGTAGTGGTGTGGTGGTGGTGTAGTGGTGTTTGTGCTATGGTGTTGGTATTGGTGTGGT